TGGCAAAGGGGATGGGAGAGTGGTACGACTAGGCGACTGTTTCACAAATTTTGTGAAACAGTTGGGCATGAACCGCTGGATCTGTCGAGGAAGGCGGTACAGTTGCTGACAGGGCACGGTAACTTTTCAGGATACCTGGCTAGGCTCAACCTGGGACCGGAAGTGCCATGTCCCTGTGGATACGTGGAACCAGAAACGGCAGATCACGTGATCGAGAGATGCATGGGCGGGAACAGGACTGGATGGCGCGAATGAAAGGAACGATTGGAAAGAGAAAAAGGGAAGATAACATTACGAGAAAGGAATGGAAAAAGGGATGATCGGAAAAGATTTGTGAATGAATGGGCGGAAACGTTTTGAGTAGCGAATGAGAGAGAGAGAAAGAAGACAGCTGCGACTTACAGCGGAGCTAGGAATTGAAATAAAGCATGAGAGCCTGATCAGGCTAGGCAGACAACGAAGGAGACACAGATCTGGCAAGTTGGGCGATAGGACAAGGGTAAAAGTTAGATAGGTATTATTTTATATTGTAATTTGGGAGTAGGGAATCAATTTTGTTTATGTTTCAGAGATATGTTAAGTTGTTATGAAATATAAGTGATTGTAAGTGTTATGTAATTGTTATGAATATTGTATTATCTGGAAAATGAAAAATAAAGAAAAGGGTCTTCTGCCCCGCTAATTCGTCCCCCCGCATTGTCGACGTTCCGCGTCGAGGACGACGGCAAATTCATGTTGGTGCGGGAATCCACTATCGTCAAAAAAAAATCTGAATCTCAGGTTTGTTACTAATGAAGACAATTCATTCGGAATTTAAGCAAATTACATTGAACTGTCTGATATTTAGAGTTAAATTTACCAATGAATTTACCTCAGAGAAAGACAGCTAGAGAAATAATAACAAAAGCTAATCTGTAACGTCGCGGTATAGGAAAAATATAAACACAAGCAAGTTTCTTAATTTTATTTTTCAATTAACTTTGCCTAAACTTAGATGCTTTTCTGGTGCACAAAAAAAATCGTTGGAACAAGCGATTGTTTCCCAATTTATTTGAATTCAGCTTGCAGATACGTTCTTCTATGAGAATAGCTTAACTCCCTGAAGAAAATATTCTTTGACTATGACTATGACTTTGTCAATGGCTAACACTGTGACTTATACAATGTCAACTTATCACAAAAAAGTTGCTAATTGGCTGCAATCAGGTTCATTTTTCATGTAACTGTTTTTCTAACACAAAAAATACTCAAACTGAGATCATCTGGCACTACAAGATTTACAAGCTTCTCAATTGAAGAAATTATTTCCATCAGATGGATTGATGCCGACATGTGGTTTTTAACTTCTTTGAACCTGAAATGTACAATATATCGAGGTTTCAAAACTATAATGATGTAACAGAAATTTCTCAAATGTTAAGGAGCACCAAAAATATTTTGAAAAATATATATAATTGAGGTTTACTGATGATGGTGATACCTTGTATTAGTATCTAAATTGATTTTAATTTCGAATACTGATACGTTGTTATGGCACAAACAAGTTTTTGATGTGATTGGAAGTAACTTTAGTGGTGATAACTCATTTTGGCATTTTTTTTTGTTACATCGTTCTGCCACGCAAGAATACCTCTCTGTATTCGCGGTAATATTTTGAATCTGTTACTCACAGAGTAACTTAGGTCTAACATGGACACTTCTTGAACACATGAACATATTGATAACAATTATGTGTAGTATTACTGAGTCTTTCTATTCATATTTCTTTTCTCTCAGTGGCAAAAATTATTTGATAGAAATAAAATTTGGCAATGCTGCAGCAGACTGAAGCTTACAGTATGAGCGTGGTAAACTGATATTTAATATTCAAGTATATATCCCATTTCATACCACTTACCTGATACAGAAAAACCAGTACCATCTGTACTCTAATATCATTGTCTGCTACTTTCTAACCATAATTCTTGGACACTCAACATAGCCTCTCTTAAAATAGATGTTTCTCAAGCAAGAAGTAGAAGGTTCCCTTATGAAATTAATTGCACACATGGTCCTCTCACTGAGTATAACAGGATATTAGATACAGAATGAATAATTAGGCGGAGGCCCAGGTGAAGAAGATGATAGAGCTAGTGAGCCAGTAAAAAAAGAAGAAAAAACTGCTACAAAAAAGGTAATTGGTATTACCCAACAAAAACAGTGATTTTGAAGTATTTTGGTAATTGTATTTAAATTTCACACTATAGATTCATATTACTATTGAAATAAATGACGAAGAATTATAACTATGTCTTTCTCTTCTGATTTCACTTCACTAAGTAAGCTATGGGTCACTCTTAATATTTTGGCTTTCATCAATTCAGAATTGAAAATTTATGGCATGGTTGGGAATGAAATCCAATTTTTGACAACTGGACATCCTGTTTCATTTTCTGAATGGGTCAGAGTGATATGAAGTATGTATTAATGTGTGATGTCACGTTCAATTGTATAAAAAAATCATAATTTATATTAACTTTTGAGTAATTTAAAAATGTTTGATTGGTAAAATGAAATTTATAATACATTTCAACATAACAGGAATATTGGGAATTACACTTTGAACATATTCTTGGCAATTTATGAGTTGGAAAGTTGATTTTCAAATATTTTTCTCCAGGATTTTGAAAATGACAAATGTATTCAGAAAGAAAAAAATATACAGTAAGATCTAATCGATTATCATAATATTGATAAGTAGTGTAAAATTCTTTTCCATATCCCAAATTTTATTTCTAATTTGTTAACAAAAAAAAATAAGGAAAAGCCTAACTCCAGGTAGGTATATAAAAATCAAAGCTCGTTCAAATTTACACTAATATAGATGAATTCAATAATAGGCTACATATCACATATATTATTCAATCTTCTATGAATTGAAAAGTTGTCATTTCTCAAGATGAACATACATTCTTTTCATTACAGGTTACTTCAATTACTTATCTGAAAAGGATTACCATATCGATTTTATGACATTAATGAACCAAGAGGTGATTTTTGAGAAAACTGGTCCAATTAATGAAGACAGTGGAAGTGAGTCATCACTTTCCAAACAAGGTTTGTTAGGAACAATTTCAATAATAATACAATTCATACTAATACTTGAAGAGTTAATTGGAGTACACCTTCAAATTGTACAGCTAACTTGTATTGTCATTATACCCAATTAATAGCAATTATGAGTAACTTAATCATTTTCTGTTGTAATATACTTACTTGGATGTCTTGTTGAACTGAATACCCAGCCATATAACGCATTACCATTCTGAGTTTCCATACCCTAATTATTCATTCTGTATCTAATATCCTGTTATACTCAGTGAGAAGACCATATGTGCAATATCATAAGGGAACATCAATATCAAAGAAACATCTATTTTAAGAGAGGCTATGTTGAGTGTCCAAGAATTATAGTTAGAAAGTAGCAGACAATGATATCAGAGTACAGATGGTACTGGTTTTGCTGTATCAGGTTAGTGGTATGAAATGGGATATATACTTGAATATTAAATATCAGTTTACCACGCTCATACTTAGTACAAAAAACAGAAAAAGAATTTCATATTGCATTTCATTGATTACTCGGGTATAAATATATTAACATTAGTTTCGAATTATGAATGGACTGACTAACATCAACTTGTTAGCCCCCTATTCCAGATATGCTGAACTATTTTGCTCGCTCATTTCCAATTTCGATTTATGTCAAGTTGTGAAAAATCCAACTCGAATCACTTCTACTTCTGAATCCCTCATCGATATAATCTGTGTAAGCTCGGATGTTGTGGTGCGGAATTCGAATACTCTGGACGTGAATGGTATGTCTGATCATATGTTGGTATGTTGTGACATAGATCTAGATGTGGCCGAAAAATGTGATAAATTACGTCGGTACCTATTAATAAAAATCCTCTGATAATATGATAATATCGGTAATTGCAAAATGCAATCCGTTCAGACAGCCACCTACCTACTTTTATTAATTAAATATCTTGTATAGTCTTTACGTTCGGGGCGCCACGATAACCTTCAAAAAACATAAAGGAGTCGTGAATTCGAAAAGTTTGAGAAACACTGGTATAGAGAATATGTTACGCCTTACATAATGAATATGAAAGAGTTTAACGTTAAAGTTAGGGTAAAATATTTCACTTGTTTATTCTTGTATAATTTGTTGAAAACCAAAATTCCTTTTTACTTGTTTCGTTCATTAAACAGACGGTCTGATATTCATACAGTAAATGTAAGAACCGATTCCTTCTGTGTTCCTCAGCACCTAACTACAAAATTTGAAGGTTGTTTCTCATATTTTGCTCCTTATAACCTGAACAATATTCTGTCATTACTTAATAATTCGTTTAACCTCTTCAAAAGAGAATTAAAATTAAAATTGATGAATACTTAGATTTGATATATTTATTTATTTATTTATGTATTTATTATTCCTATATTATATTATTATATTTCCTATTATATTGTGAAACATCTTCTCCATCTGAATATGATATGTATATTGTCTGTTTATGTATTAATACTCTGTTACATCATAATCTTCATTGTAATAAAAAAAAAAATTCCACTTTGAAATGTGTATGTATATGATGTAGTATATATATGATCATCTATAGTTATATCCCTCTATATGAGTGATATCTGTGTTGTATTTGTATTTTATTTTAGTTTATAATATCTCATATTGTATTACACATGTCAGTTATGGGAAGGGTGGAAGACAGCCTCCGGCTAACCTGATCCCCTTTGTGTCTAAAATGTATTTTTTATGCACAATAAATGTATTATTATTATTAGTATTATTAAATGTCATGACAATTATCCTTTATTATTGTTGTGTTTTTCTGTTTTGATCATATATGTTTACATATACTCTGTGGAAATAAATTATCTATATCTGTATGTTAAAATTTTGAATCTATGATCTTAAGGATGGAATTGAAACTTCATTTACTACAGGAACATATTTATTCTGGTAATGTTATATATAAAGAGATAATTGAGTTTTACTTAGACTTGCTCATGTAGAACATTAGGACATATTGAATTGTGAAATGTAGTAAATAATAATTTACTTTTGTAATATCTCAGAATAAACAAAGATACAAACATACTAACCTAACTATTATCATGCATAAGTATGGTTTTTTGCATTCATGGTCACTCAGGCATTTCACCCCCAGGAACAAGCTGAAAAAAAACATGGCATGACGACTCCCCTTATAAAGTATAGATACAACCGACCCCGTTCAATCAAATATAAACTCGGATCCTTTATAATCTAGTTGCTTGTAAGTGGTTAACAATGTTTGTTGGTGAATGTTATAGGTTAGGACTTCTATTGCCTATTAAAAAGTTAACAGATCGGAAATCTATGAGAAGGAAAATCAATTACTTCTTACTGTTTTTTTGGGTATATAACCTTCCACAATATGTAAAATAAAGAATTAAACCAGTAGAGAATCTGCGGAAGTGTACTAAAAGGCAAAGTTCACCCTGAAAAGTTACTACATAATATAAACCACTGACTAGTCCAATTAGTAGTATTCATAAATTTTGCCTACAAATAAAAAAAAAATAATGTTTATACTTAGCTATCTTCAGTAGTTGACATTTCAGAAAACAATATTTTTCTGTTTTCAAAACCTGAAATTAACTTTAAAACTTTTGCCTCAAATTGTAAATAGCTCTAATTCTTTTGATATGTCAATATGACAAGCTACTGACTGATTGGGCTCTTCAGTGGTTTATATTACGCAGACACTTTTTGGGGTGAACTTTTCAGTTTGCCCTTTATTACACATCAGCAGATTCTTCATTGATTTATCTTTGTTTATTTTCAGATTGGGGAAGGTTATATACCCAAAAAACAATAAGAAGTAATTCATTTTTTTTCTCATAAATTTCAGATGATCTGATTTTCTTCATTATTCGGCAGTAGATGACACCCTCTCATCCTTTGTACAATCTTTTTTGATTGATAAAGACGATTGAAAGAATATATTCTGATGTGCCATATAAATCTTTAATTTTTCGTACAAAAAATCACTATTTGAATTAGTGTTTTTTCACCGTATACACTGGTAATCTCTATTCTCTAAGTGGTTAACGATCAAACTTAATTTTTTTTTCTATAGTTTAACCAAATAATTTAATGTGGAATTTGGAGACCAGGAAGTAAATTTGGTATTGCTGTATGAGGAATTCTAATAATGTATTTACTCTAATTATTGTTCGAGAAGTACAAAAAACAGAAAAAGAATTTCATATTGCATTTCATTGATTACTCGGGTATAAATATATTAACATTAGTTTCGAATTATGAATGGACTGACCCATAACCTGATGAAAATTAATAACACTATCCATGATAATAATTACATAATTTTCACACACATTTTAATTTGTAGACGTGTTTCGCTAACACAGTAGATTCCTCAGAACAAATTAAGCTTTCTCTACTAAGGAAGCTACTGTGTTAGCAAAACACGTCTGGAAATTTAAATGTTTGTGAAAATTGTGTAATTATTATCATGGATAGGAACTTCAGTTTAAACTGTGTTCATTTCATAATCACTTAGTAAAACAATCTTATGTTCATGTTCCCTTTCCATTTATTTAGCAATCATGAATGATATATCAGTTTATTGGTTGGCCAAGTGAAACTTATTTGATAATGCATGATTCTCAGCAATGAAATTAGATAAACTGCTCATTTGTGATCTTATCAATTCTTATTTCATAAAAGTAGGTTAATTATGTTATTTTTATCATATGATCTAACCCAAACTGAACAAAGTTATTGTCAAAGGCAATTCAATCAATAAATATATCATGTAACTAGCCGATACTTGATGAAAATCTATAATGTATTGAAGAAACCCTTTTCTTGTCAGATTTTAACAAGACAGGTGTATGACCACACATTAGAAAGCTTTTGCATAACAAAACACATGATGTGGTTTTGCGAACTGTCCACAGAAAATCTTATAATAAAGTGTTACTTGAATACTACGTAGAATAAATTCGAAATTACACACAGCACCAGCAAATTTTCTCACCATTGTGATATTATTTCCATTTAACAAAATTTCATCCAGTTTTGTTATACGTCTGCCTTCAGGAGTTGTTTCATATTCAGTAACATCTTCAAGTAGCATGTTGACAAAGTCATCGAAGCCCAATAATGTTCCGACAATCTCTTTGTCATTTTTCATTATTATGTGAATTCTAGAACCTATACATTTATCCACCAATTCTGAAAATATGAAAAACATTAATGTTATTATTGAAGCCAAAATTACATTATTACCAAGCGGTAAAAGGGTAGAAGAAGTTACTGGCATCGCACTCATAATTTCTAATCTTGTATAAAAACCAACTAATCCAACTATGAATATAACATGTACTACAATGACTGTTTTAAATTTTTGAATTTTGAGGTTATGATTTTTTTGACACTTTAATTCATAGACGTAAACTCATAGAATCACAAACCACTTACTCTAAAACAGTGCGTTCCACTAAGCACTCACAACGACCACGCTCACGACCACGGTTTTTGCCGTTCCACTTGGTTCTGGGCGTCACAATCATTAACTCAAGTGGAATGGATTTTGAAACGTTTTTTAAAAAAACAAAACAAAAAGTTGATGAGGTTATGTTACAATTTATAAGTGGTATCAATAAGTTCTATTGATTGTTGATTAACATGATTTATTAAACAAAAATTATGTATATACTTTAATTTTAGAGGAGTATTTAATTAATTTATGTTCGTATATAATAAAAATGCCTTTTACGGCGGCAGTTGGAAATTTGTTGGTGCGTCGAAATAATGCTCCACAAAGTACTAGTTCGTCCAGCTCAGATGAAGAATGGAATACAATTTTACAAAAATATAATCGTGAAAAAACGAAAACTTAGACCACGTAATAATGATTACGACAATGTAATTACTCGTTATTCAGATGAAGAATTTAAATGTCATTTCAGGTAAATTATTTTGTATCACTTAATACACTATAGATTTTGAAAATTTTACTCATGGAATTCTTTATTGATCTCCTTAGACTTTCAAGATGTACATTTAATTATTTACATGAGCTGATACAAGAAGATTTAGTCCGATGTGTTTCCGGATGTCCTACAATTCCTTCCCGTCATCAATTGATGATAGCTCTTTGGAAAATGGCCACAACAGATTCTTATAGATTATTTTTTTTTCAATTAACCATTTTAGTATTATATACCATAATTCACAAGTATAAAATTGAACCCTTTTTTTTTAACGCACGTTCAGCATCTGCAGGAGAAAGTTTGAGATCCACAACAGTATCTCGTTCGGCACAATAGAACGATATTGTTGTTGTCGCCATGTTTGCTGCTTTTAGTTTTAAAAATTGCGCTCAGTTTCTCAAAATACTCACATCGACCCACCTCTTGAGATGGGTCGTCGTGAGCTAGGCGTGAGCATAAGTAATGACGTCATTAATGACGTTTTCGCCGCGACCACAACGATCGCGGTCGCCATGTGGAACGCCTGAATGAGTATTTTAGGCGTTGTGAACGCTTAGTGGAACGCACGGTAAGTTTGTGCATAGAATGAACTGGAACTGGAAGTGATGTAACTTTTACATATATTCCACCTGCTGATTATACAACGCCTTAGCTGCTGTTTCACAGCATCATGTGACAAATCAAATCCCAAAATTTTCACATGGAAATATACAACACGAAAAACATCCTAAAGTTGAGTGTATGAATGACGTAAATGCCAAAACTTGAATCTCTTCAACTTTTTTAGTGGTTGGAATCAATATTCTCTCTTTAATAGCCAGTCCATATGTATTATTACGTGACTGGTTTAATTTAAGGATCAATCATGCATAGGCCCAATAATATGGCCATCCATTAAAGAGAAAACATCGACTCCAACTCGAACAGATTAACTCGAAATAAGTAACATTTGACAGGAAATTGTAACTTTTGAATAGGCCGCATACAAAGGGAAGCATTTCGCTCCCAGTGATTAGCAACACTAGCTGATTCATCTCAAAAAGTGATAGTTGACGTATCAAAACTGATAGAAAACATGTAAAAATGCTCTTCAATCATCTGTTTTGATACGTTTGAAGTCTCAGTTATGATATGTCAACTGTCAGTTCGAATGTGTTAATTGCCAGTTCTGATATGTAAACCGTCAGTTGAGAGCCAAAATGTAGCATTGAATAAAAACCTAAAAGTAACAAATAATGTCATGAACAACACCGCTCTTGAAAATAAATCAGCTACTGTTGCCAACGTCTCGGTACGAAATGCTTCGCTTTGTGCGCGACTCATTCAAATGATAAATTTTCCGTGGAATGTTACTTTTTTCGGTATAATCTATAAAATATTTTTTTGAGTAGGAACAGCATTCCGTAACCATAGTTACGTTATACTATGCTTATGAGTTAGATTTTATGTTCCCAAAGTAATCAGAAATGAGATTTTGGGTGTTTTATAGGCGAAATTTGAACCTTTGGCGTGAAATGAATTAATTCATGGAGAACACTTTTCCCACACCAAATCATCTGATGATGCTTGGTGGTGGTTGGCGAAACTCGCGTCGATAATATATTGTGAAAGATGGGATTTGGGGATTCGAAAAACACAACGTTGTTGGTACTACTGAAAAACCGTTTAATGTGGAACAAGGTTTCCGGTGATATTTGTTGTGGTGAGAGTGACAATAGGATACACGCATATGTCTTACTTTCAACTTTTTTGATCTCAACAAGTACATTACTCCCAATGAAGCTGTGGAAAACGCTTGGAATTAAAAATGAAATGTAAATTTATTCATGATACAAATTTGAAAATTACGAATTTTCAGGCCTGCTCAAATATATCCCAAATGAAATCTGGTGAAGAAATGGATCGTTACTTCCTTTATTTCCAATTTTTCACAAAGAGGAGCTTTCAGTTGTGGGAATTTGAATATCAGTGACAGTTTCGAAAGATTGTTTTTATTATTATTGTTGTTCAAGAGAGAAATAAAAAATATATATATAAAAGTGGTCCTGAACGAACCTTCCAAAAAGAAGAAGATTTTTGACCAAAAAACGTAAGTATTCAAGGCAAATAAGAATCAATAGGATTGGTGTAAGCACCGGTTGAACTAACTATAGATTTGAAAACGGCAAGTTCTCAAATTCAACAAAAAAATTCTGATGGATTGATTAACTAATCGAAACGCACTAACGCCTCAAATGGACCAAAAAGACGAATTAAAAAACTAATCTTGTTCATGTACGCCTCCTATCCAAAGATTCAATTGGATTTCATGAGAACTGAATAACATAGCAAACAATAGGTATAACAATATGAACGAAAAAAATTCGAATAATTTTTCAGATGAATTTCGAATTTACCAAGGTTTACACAGTGTACAGTAAGATGAAATATTCAGTGTGAGCACCTACAATAGATTTCTCTTTTGGATGACAGTTTACTTGAGAATGTTTTAATAAACCATAAACTGGTCGTAACAAATAAAAATCTGGTAGAAATTAGACAAAAAAACTCTTTATCCTATAAAAATACCATTTTTGAATTTAATTTTACGAAAAAATAGGTCAGGAAAGGAAATAAAAGGAATCATCAAGAACTTTCTTTTTTTTTCAAGGTAAAGATGTTTTCAGTACATGCGCATTCGTTATTTTGGAGCCAGCGTTTTCTCTTGACAGTTGTGGAAATAGGACCGGGTAACAGGCAACAGTGTTTAATTGTTTTGATAAATTGACATTTTGATGAACGTGGGATGGATGAACTACTTACGAAGAAATAGAGCCCAAAAACAAAAATTTCAAATATTTTTGATGTTTCAATTAAAATGAGAAATACTAAAATTTTTGACAATGGAGAAAAATTATATTGATTTCAAGTCCTGTACAAAACAAGAAGATAATGAAATGGATAACGCACGTAAGTTGTCATTTTCATAAAAGATCAGGGAAGTTGAATAAATTTATAGTTCATATCGTTCAAAGCGTATTTCTTATACAAAATTATGATTAGATCAGTATTGTACTTTATGTAGAAGGCTTTATCTAGTTATCTGTTTTTCGTCCATGAAAGAGGTCAAAAATGGATGTTGTTTTACAGGGGCGCATCCAGGAATTGTGTCTGAGGGGCTATGGTGGATGGAATGAGTAAAAAAATGTATAAACATTTTGGAGTTAACTTCATGAAGGCTACAGTATGTACCCATTTTATTTTCCATACGACGTTTCGTTTACTTTGGACCCCCTAATAATTTTTTTTTTCAAAAATTGATACTGCACTCAATCCTGCATTTACCTATGTACCACCTATAATTTTTACAGAACGTTCCACTCCAAAAAATATCATTATTACTAATTTTGTATCTGAAATTTGATTTGTTATTACTAAGTGAACAACCGAATTTTAAGCTTTTAATGAATATTCAAAAATCAATTGTGCTTGAAAAAATGTTGAACCTTTAATTTATTATTCAACTCTGAAATTTCAAAAAAATCGTAACTCGTTTATTAGACAACATGTTATCATCATGTGAATCAAGTTACCTACCTGTTTCTTTCATTTTTATTCAGTCCATTGTACCCGAGATTGTATCTGAAATATTGAAAATCAATACTAAACTCATAATATTGTAATATTATTTTTCTGAATGGAAAAACACTACACAAAAAAAAATTTATTATTTCAATTTGTTATGCGTTGATGAATGGAGGATTGAGAGAATCATCAGAATTTGTTGTATAAAATGCAGGTCTGTATTTAAAAAAAATGATGAGGGTGAGTGACCCTAAGTAAACGAAATGTCGTATGAAAAATAAAATGCGAGTACATGTTGTAAACTTCATAAAGTTAAACCAAAAACAGTCATACGTTTTTTTTTTTATATTTTGTGTAGTGAAGATACCAGAGTAGAAAAATCGAACTCAACAATTTCAAATCTTCTCGATTATTTCAAAGCCGTTTCCGTTAACATACCTGACCACTACGTCTATTGATCTCAATGCAGTGGTCGGGTTGCCCGTGCTATGTTCCTAAAATTCCTGTTAATTGTAATGCTTTTAATTCAAATAATATGAGACTGATTGATTTTCAGGTTTTGAAATGAAGGTAGCCTTAATCAAACTCCATGTTTTTTTTGTATATATCCTGAAGTCAAACTTGCTCTAGGGATTACACATTATTTTTCAAGTAGGAGTTCTTGTTCTTTTGGCAGCATTACTTAATGAATGCCATATGGCCCCGACGACATAGGTTTACAGCTAATTAATCTTATCGAAATCTATCACTTTCTTTGCCACCAGCTAATTCTCCTTAGTTCCTTTAGGGGCTTCCAATTCAGAATTTGTCCAGGACTTCTTTGTTAGATTTATAATTTCTGGCCAGAGGAAGTGAACTCGAAAGATCTCCATTATGTCTATTCCTGTTTATGTGTGCTCTTTCATATTTCTTTTCAGATAATTCATTAAGACTTGAAGCCCCTTCAAGAGTATCTTATAAAGCCTGGCACATACTTAGGTTGGTTTGATATTCTCCCATTGCCTTCTTCATGAATATTTCAAGAATTTTTTCAGAGTTTTGTTGTATTCATTAAAGGACCTTTTGTATTAATCATATATGCCAGATATCCTCGCACTTTCGAAGGCTTTTCTAATTTATTGTCTCATCCATGCCAGATCTTCAGTTCACCAGGGAACATTTCTGCATGATCTCTGGCTGACTGTGGAACTATGTGCAATTCACATGGAGATAATAGCTCCAGTAATTTGTCTGCTGAGTAAATTTCCAGGTCTGCCTTATATGCTTTTCAGTTTGTTTTTTCGGGGTTTTGATAAGATATTGGAGTGGGAAACTTTTTGGTTGGTTGAGGATTAACATAATGATATAAATGTCATCATCTTTCGAATTCACTGACAAAATTTTTATAATTAATTTGATCAAAGAGCAGATTTTATTTAAGTCAACTATGTGAGAACTATAACCATGTAGTACATATTATTGAATCATCAATAATTATCACATCAAACACCAGTTGATGAATCCTATAGGCAAATTCTTGATATCTTTGGATATCGCTGATAACGTATCTATAAGTTGAATTGTTTTTAGAATTGGTGAGGTGAAGCAAAATATGTGCTGACTTTAAAATTTCTCTACAATAAAATCTGTTTAGGAAAAAAGTTTTTTGTTTTCAATTTCTTATGCGCTACTATATATAATTGAGATTGTTTCACAGATAGAAAGAAAACATTATCAATGAAGAGATTATTTTTTCAGACTGAAACTGGAATAAAGAGTTCCTTCTGAAGTAACTAAGTACTTCCCTTTGCAAATATTGAAATATACAGAGATCAGTTTTTTTTTCTCAATTTGTGCAACAAATGTCAATCAAGGAAATTGATGCAGATATTATTTATGAGAAAATACATTTTCATTTTAATCTGGATATTACTGAGAACCACCATTATGCTTATAATTAAGCTGAGTTTTCAAGTTTACCCTTTCTTTTAACTAGTCATGCCCCCTGAAACCTTAACAATTGCTTGAAATATTGCTAAACTTTCTCAAGTTATTTTAATATTAGTAATCATAACATTAATCATTATTGTTATGGTTACGAATGATTTCTGTCAAGCCAGTGATGGATAGTTTACAATTTTGAAATAGCTGTTTCTGACAGTGTCAAAGCCACTTTACACTTCTCTAATTTTTTTTCTTGGTGTAATCGGCATTGACTACATTGGTCATTAGCCACGTGTCCTGGGTATGCAATGTTAATAACTCCTCGAGCCACCTAGGGAGCGTCACGACTATTCAAAGTCCGTCAGCCATGTAACGTTGCAGATTCATCTCAACTTCATCGAGATAAATTATCTCGAGAAAAATATCTGGTCGAGGTTAGGATCGAACTTACGACCTTCTAGTCGTGAATTGGGCGCACTACCACTGCGCCAATTCACCGCTTTCTCTCATTTTTATTGCTGTATTCATAATTGTAGTTTTGTTTCACACTTGGCAACTGAACGACTGATTGTCAAAACGTTCTAGCATTAAGCAGGCTTGCCAAAATACATTGTTTATAAATGAAAATATATAATCATTGAAATTTAAAATTAATTAATATGAAAAAATTGAATTCAACCAAGAAAATAGAAATATCACTTTAAGGTGTTATACATACTCAACATGGACTGTACAGCATATGCCATCTCATATTTCAGATCATACAACTAAGTAACATTCAATGTGATTGGTGAAACTGGAAATAACCATATTTCTAACTAGAATTGCATTTTCAAGAAAAATTGCGAAAAATAAACTCAGGTTTGGATCCATTTTCTGCATCTATGATTATAATGCAACAGCCCTTAAGGCACATGTTCACAATAAAAATTGCTGCAATTCTTTCAAGAACTATATCAACTACCACTGCGATGAAGCATTGAAAACAAATTAGTGAACTTGAAACTCTGGGTTCCAGTTCAGTTTGAAAGTAAAAGTGATTCTTTCAAGTAACATTTTATTACTCCTACGATTACTATGTTTGCAATCATTGGTATCTATTTCAGTTTACATTATGGATATCATTTGTAAATTTGAATAATTCAACTGTTGACGTATTATTTTCACATTATATAGTGTATCTGTATAAATATTTTTATTTATCATTTTGTCAGAGAAAGTGTTCTCATTTCATTTGATTCATTTTCCCTTTATTGACAGTTCTTCATTTTTTATATAATAATTCGAAAATGAAAATTCTAAAATGTTTTTTCCTAGCATTAACTTTTCCACAATATACTTGTTTCATAAAAAGTTATGTTTTATTTGTAGACGAAACAGGCGAAGAAGGTGTTAAACCTGAACTAATATACCTTAACCAAAAAGGAGAAGTGATTGAAGAGAAAACATATGACTATAAAGATTTGTCACCTTTAGAACCTTTAGTGGAATATGTGTATGAGGACTGTAGTAAAAGCCCGCAGGTGAAACTCGGGGATAGCTTTCAAGAATGTTCTGCTCAAGATTATGTCGAAACAGAGGTTTCTCCGGAAGGACTGGTACTACAAACTATTGCCCAGGTAGATGGGACAGAAATCGAGAGCATTGAACACTCTGAACCACCTTTAAATTCTGAAGTAAATGCTTTTAGAATTGAACCAATGATGCCATTTTTTCTTACCTCACCAATTGTAACTATAATGAATGAAAATAATGAAATTGGGGTAAGTTGATGAAATGAAAATAAACAAATGTTAACTTGACAAACCAGTTTTCGTAAGATGAACCTTAAATTATCCTTCAGACTTATTTTATAGATACAAACAAGATGGTGTTTTTAATCATAAATCTGAATTAATTTCCAAGAAATAAGTATAAAGGATTTTATTGTAAGATGCCACTTATGCCTTTGTTAACGATACCACTATATCCAGTTTCACTGATTTTGCCTTTGAACATGAATATTGTAAAAACAGGTGGGGTTTACTGATTTTAGTTCCAACATCTGAGTATATTTTGATGACAATTTGGGAGAAATGACGTTTGAAATTGAAAATTTCAAATATGTCTAAAATTAATAAGGGAGCCCATTATGCTAAAAGGGGATTTACTTTTGCAGATTAGGTGGTAGAAAGAAAAAAGGTTAAATGATGTTCACCTTTTCATCGCATTTATAGGTTTTCAAAAATGTAAAAAAGTTAGTTATATGGAAATACTCCACTTCAGATATTGATATGTCTCCAACGATGCACATATGTTAATCTCTGGATTTTCATGGTAGGTGCCGCTGAACACATGGGTTGAAAATCTGATAAAATAAAATTTTGTCAAGCTCCCATTCAAAAGACTGAAAATACTGAGGATTCAGATGTGACGCCAGCTTGTGGCACTTTTTTGAGAACACAGAAATAACTATTATGAAATACTGTAGACCCTAACCTTCATCAACAATTTTTGAAACTTCTGTTTATCAAAATTGGCAAATATGCTTTCCTTTTTTTTTTAATGAAAAAGTTGACGCTTTTTTTTTGCAAGTTTGTGACTCTTTCATCTTGTTAAGGCGCGCACAAATAGTCCCATTTTTAAAATTCACACTTTTCAGTATGTGAATAACTCGTACAATAATCTAACACACTCGACAACTACAGATAATCTATTTTTTTTCTGTTTTGATTGGCTGCCGTACACGCATGGCTTAAAGTTGGTGAAGCTACTCAATAGGGTGTAAAGTATCCCCTATATTTTGATCTGCTGTGCTTGGGTGATTTCTCAAAATCCCCTATTGGACTCTCCTACTACTTGTTTATACAGCAAATTCTGCTCTATATTGTATAATGAAACAACTGTTTTTATTTATTCATCAAAAGCCCATACAATATCTTCGTTTTCTTTCCAAATTATTAACATGAATATTTTTATGCAATAAAATAAGTGGTGAAGTGATAGGTAGATTAATCACACTTCATATGGGATTGAATTAATGAGAATATACTTACAATTCAGTGAGAATTTGGCACTTTTCATTGGTACAATAGATAGATAGATTCAATTCATTCAAATGGGAACCCTAATATAAAAATAACTAAAAGTACATGTAAAATGAAAAAAAGTAAACGTATAAATGCATACTTGTGATGCACTGTTTGGAACCTTTGGTGTAGTAATGAATATTACTGGAGTTTTATCCCAACACCAAACCGTTATTTTTGATACCTCGACACGTGTTTCGATCACCAAGTGATCATCTTTAAAAGGAAGATTAAACTTGAAGATGTGTCGAGGTAATAAAATAACAGTTTGGTGTTGGGATAAAACTCAGTAATATTCATATAAATGCATAATCGCTAAGATATGGGGAAATCATAACAGTACATTGCCATATTGCAAAGCGTTTTGTAAAATATAAAAGGATAAAGGATAAAACAGTTCTAATATAACCAGGAAAATTATTAAACTGATTTTAGCCTTTAAAAAACAAAGGAACCATATGCCTGGCGTTATTAACTCTGCATGTATGCAAATCATTTTTTCTCCGAATATGTAAGTTTTCTGATTAGTTTTCTTGAACTACATTGGTGGATAATGATTACATCTTAAAGTTTTTTACATTCCTCGATTCTAATTTTTCTGTAGTCTAATTTATTTGAATTACAATTATCCTAGTCAAAATGAAGATGAATAATACTTCTATAAACGGTATTTCTCGTTTCAAGAAAAATATAAACGAGTCGTGATAAAAAGTATAACTTTTTATACAGTTTTTTCAGATACATTCAAAATGTTGGTTAAATAGTAAGCTATTATCCAATTGAAAACCTAGATATTTGACACAAGTGACAAATTCGATATAGTCATTATTGATTGACAGATCATTGTTCTTTGAACTGATACGGTGACATCTCCGACATGAGGTTACAATCATGGCTTTCGTTTTTAAAACATTTGAATATGATTTATTGATAATAAAAGGTAAAACTGGAATTTCTGGCGTAGAATATCTCCAAAACAAGCACTTTTCTCTATCACCAGAACTGCAGTACTCTCCTCGACCGGTGTTTCACCAACCAAGTTGGCGTCTTCAGGAGATGAAGATTACTTGGCGTCATTAGAAGATAAGTTGGTGAAACGTGCCTTTAGAAGACTATCACAGTCCTCGTGATTGGAAAAGCTGCTTGTGTTGGATAGTTTATTGAATCTCAGATAATCATTTAACTGTACAAGACACTAGACATTTTGTTAACAGCATTTTCGAGATTAGAATCGCTGCAGGCCAGCACTGTGTCTTCTGTAAACAAGTTGATAAATCCACAAACAATTTAATGTCATTCAATAACAGAGGACCTAAAACACTTTCTTGAGGAACGCCTAGTCCAACATAACTTTTATCGGATAACAAATCATCAACTCTCACTCTTTGTTTTCTATCATTATATTATTCATAATTACAAAATCAATTATTTACTATACCATCAAAAACATTACATTTGGGCTTTGCTAATAGTATATATGTGTCTATAGTTTCAATATTAAGTATATTTTAAACTCTGTTGAAATTATGTTTCAAATATGTTTCGTAGTATTTAAAATTCTTACAGTTAGACCAAATTAACAGTGTTGTACCAATTTGATGTATTACTTTACATACATATAGCTCTTCTATCATCGTTAATTCATGAACACAATATAATTGCAGATTTTCTGTAACTTTATGTAAATTCCAAATCGTTTTCAAGCTTTTTTACTGCCAAAACTGTTCCTTTGAAATATACAAATAAACCTTAAAATTCTCTAGATGCTTGTCTGAGCTAAGGTAAAAGGAGTTCCCATAGATATACTGTAATTAAAATACAAACTGAAGAATTATTTTGAGACTTCAAATTATATTTCAAAACACTGCTAATTTTGTATCTTTCAGGAAACTATCATTCTACAGATCGAAGGTGAAAAATTAGAGGAACAAGAGGACAGTCAAGATGAAAGTTCCATTCATAACGAAAATTCTGTTGCTTCATTACAGTTAAATCTCTGTTGTAGTCAAGACAATTTAGTTATAAATACATATACTTGTGAAGCCTGTCAGATGCAGTATGGTTGTCTCAATTGTTTAAAATCTCATTATGAAACAATGCACATTGCAAGAAGTTATGTTGCACAGTACAAATGTAAATACTCTATGCAAATTAGCAAGTACTTGTATTGCCCTGTTTGTGAATTGGTATTTGACAATAGAAGTGATACTATGGATCATTATATAACGCATGCAGTAGCTTGCGACATTTGTGGCTCTGGATTTGATAGACGACAGTACCTGACAGAACATCTCAAATCTGCTCATAATAAGGGTGATTTCAATGCTTTCTATGAATGTGAATTATGCAAGCAAGTGTTCCAGTATGGGGGCAGTCTGAGCAAACATTATCAGGTAATATTCTGATATATTTTCAATATTGTTTTTTCAAGTCATCTCCATTTGTTACCGGTCTGCTGACTTGAAATCCCATATCATTTTGATCTGAGAATTCTAAAAAAAAAAAAAAAATTAATTCTTGAATACAATTGCTTTCGAGGACGACACAACGATTTTAGTAGTCATATAATTTTTCGATATCATTTTAATAGTACGATTTGTCTTTAGCCTCAAAATAGGCCTACTTTAAAATAATTTTAATAATCAGCAATATATCTATTTTTGCCGTCCACAATTTTAATGTTGTTAAGAGACGCTTTGTAAAAATGGTCAATATAAAAACCTATCTATAACTATTAAAAGTGTAGAAACCTTACTGTATGAAAAAAGTCTTTTTCAGTCAGCATTGACCATTTATCATGTTTGTGTAGGAAATTAGTTAACAGTAACCAAATATGATTTTTCCAGGTTTTCCATAAGATGGTACTGTGCGTAATATGCAAAATGAAGTTTGAAAATTCAAAAGACCTCCAAGACCATGAAAAAGAGCATTCAGAAAAATTTAATATCTTACCATTTGCATGTAGCAAATGTGATAAGGCTTTTTCTGATATCTCAGACATAGCTGTTCATATAAGACAAGACCATAGCCATAAAAGGGAAGTGGTGGAAAATTTTGGTTCCATCCATAAAAAAGTCATAGATGATCAGCAGAGACCAAATAAGAGAGTGAAAGTGAAAAGACTGAAATCGGAATTTTTGTAATTATCAATTTCGTTATGTATAATAATTATTTAAGTATGTTTAATTAGTCATCTTGGTACAATAGCGGGAAATATTTTTTTCATTAAATTTTGATCAATCCTTTGGTAATTTCATAATAAAAATCATAATGAATTATTATAACGCCAGCCCTTATTCAAACTGTAATGAAAGAATGCCTACAAGAAAAGTGAACAACTGTATAATTAGTGATCATAAATAACACCAACAGAAATAAAAGAAAAAACGTGGAAATAATACAAAGATTTCTCATTCACAGAATGATAAATCAAATTTGAAACTAAGATACAACTAAGCTAAAGATCAAATTAAAATTTATGGAAAAGTAATTGTGAAACGAAAATCAAAACTTTTCCCTATGACAAATAATAATCCAGGCATTCAAAGTTTGGCTTGACAAACATTACTCAACTCGTAAAATCGGTAATGAGTCAGTATGAGAACTCGGTCACTATTTTAGAAAAGCAACCCTAGCGCCGGATGGGTGGCCGGTCCTTGAACGAACTTTGAATACAGTATCCTCAGTCATAGTAGAAATCAACGTAAAAAGATAACACCTGGTTGTTAGCTAAACTGTTGACTGAATATCAATATATCCTCAACTATGTTAATCCAAGCTATTTTTTGACGAGAAGACTTCGTGATGTGAAATCTTACGATTTTGAAAAAAAAAGACAGAAATGGTATGATAGGAGTAATCCTATTGAATTATGACATACAGTGTTGACTAAAGAGAAGGCTCCTAGAATCCAAGGGATGTTGAGGCAGAATTAAAGAAATGTGTCCTGAGAAAGATGTCATAAGGGTTGTCAAGAAAAAAAAAGAGAATTATACTAAACCTGTTGCTAACTACTTATGCAATCTTCATATTGGCAAATAAAAGTTGATTCTTATTACGGCTTGGTTCATTTTATTTTATTTGTTACACAGCGATAGGAAATTGTTAAAGTCTGTCACAGAAAAAAATCAATAATTTTAATTTTCAAGATTTGTGCAAAGTTACATATTCTATCTCAGGAGTTACATACCCCAATGGGTCTCCTGTAGTTTTTATAAGTAATTGGTTACAGTATACTTATTTCAAAAATTGTTTTCAGTACTGCATTTGGAGAGTTTACATGATCCTCTGATCATCTTGTGGCTATTCTCATGAACGTTATGGAATATTTCTAGTGCTTCACTTCTCAGTTCTAACAGCCAGTATGAGTGTAGTGACTTTTCTTCTTCTGACTGGCCACATAATGTCCTTTGCTGCCTATTCAAATTGAAAACAAAATAGGAATTTAACGGACTTTGATCAGATATGTAGATGATGTATTGCAATTTTTGACACATAGAAATCTAAGGTAGACGACTTTATTCTGACTCTTAACAACAGTTCTCTGAATATCAAGCAAAATCTGGCATGATAGTAACAAAGGTAGGTACTGTTTCAAGTTCACGGGAACTTTCAACGGGAAACTTTTTCACAAATTTCCACCTGAAAGCATTGATGTGTGTCTAGAAGCGAAAGTGTAGATATGAATAGCTATTAGATATAATGAAATAGATAATATTCACAGGAAAAAACATTACGTATACATAAAAAGTACAAATGTGAATAAACAGCGGCAACATGAAAGCAATGTGAAAATTGCTTGTATGTGTTATGGCCATCCTAACACTGATAGTGATAAAAAACTAAATGAAGCAATATTATCAATATCAATGTCTTTTGCTGTTAGATTGTTAGCAAAAATGTCATTTAGTTTTTCTAGCGTTTTACTCAAGACATTATTCTTATCTGTTTAAATCCAAAAAATGACAATCTTGTTTCTTCGATTCTGACGTTCGCTATCTGTAAGCCTATTCTCTAATTTGACATATGTTTCTTCCAGTTTTTGTAATCTGTCGTTTATGGCAGTATTGATTGATTTTATCTCCTTTATTTCAAATGTATTTTTGGTGATAACCGCTTCCAATTTTTCGAAAAGTTCTTGATTTGTGAGTTGGCTTATTTTTCAGATTCAGCTCATATATCATTTTTCTTATACTGTCGTGATCTGGGTTTTTCAGTTAGCAAAAGAATGTTAGTTTCTTATGTGGGATCTGGATTTATTTTGTATTTGGTTTGTGCATATAATATCAAATTGTCCTTCATTCATTGCAATTTAAACACAAACTAAATGTTCATTAAGATTTGGTCTATGTTTCTACTGGAATTATTTCAAAATTTATAAAACTCATGGAAAAACGACCTTCTATTGAATTTTTTTAAAAAGTTGTATGGTTTTATGCAAACTAAAGGAGCATGGTGTTTATTTCAAGAAATGATTAGAAAAACACTGACATATTCCCAAAACAAGTCGTTTTCCCAATCATCAGAACAGCAATATTGACGCACATTTCATCAACTAAGTAAGGAAACTGCTCTCCATCCAATGAATGTTTTTAATATAAAATGTTCCAATCTAAAAATACTTACTTGCTTGAGAAAACTATTAAGTATCAGCCAGTTTTATTCAATTATTATTATTCATTAGGGTTAAATGTGTTACAATAAATGCCAGGTCTTTTGAATTTAATGATGATTAATCAATGTACAAACAAGAAATGAACCTGTTTTTAGATAAATGAAATATCATATAGAATCATATCAAAACACTTTTCAAATCTATTCATTAATTTTATTGAAGGATCACGAAGGAGTTGTAGATAATACTGATAAAGTATAGATACATCCAGCACATCCTAGAAGTAATGTCAAAATGGAAACTAATGGGTAATCATCTAAGTCACCCACAGGTACATATAACTCCACTTCATCAAACAGAGCTTGGTAGGTGAGGTTTTTCCAAATACACACATTTTTGCCACTGTTATCACAAGGTGCCTCTACTTTCAAGCCTTTTCCACAAACTTTGTTCAGTGAACCAGGGCACCACGAAAGGAGGCTAGGCTTTAACATCATAACTTTTGCATACCTTCCTGATATTTGGCTCCTTTGATATCTCAAGTGAATCGGTATTGCAATGGATGTTTTTTCAATACCAGTGCTACTCAAATATATATACAGAATGTGACTCTTGGCTTCGTGAGCTGGAGCCTCTATATCGACACTACCATCTATGTATGATACAAGCTTTCCTTTTCTAGACAGTTCCGCGATTTCATCAGGATTGACAAACATGCCATTAGGAATATCTTGCCTGAGCACAAATGTGCATTTGGAATCTACCAAAAGTGTCTTCAAGTCCTTTGTTAAGGGGCTTTCGATGAGCCACAAGACATTTCGATGGAATCCTTCATGTTCAACCTTCCTTATGATAGAAATTTCCAAATTTAAACATTCAGACTCACACTCAATATAAGAAATCAATGAAAGGGTGATATAACTTAATATTAAGCTACTTTTTATGATCATTATCATAAATGAAGCATATTTTGAAGAATTTCATATATCAGTTATATTATTTGCTACCTTACATATTAGGTCATTTTTCACGATATCCTGTCGATCAAACATTGACAGTATCCACACCACAGAATAGTAAACAATTATAGGCTGTTTACGTTAAGAAGAGAATGACGTCATTTTTGGTAATTTTGTATATCCAACATAACAACGTTAAAATTCCCACTGAAATGCGTTCAACAGCAATGAAACTAGTAACATTTTATTTTGTAAGTTGTTCAACTGATAGTGAAATTTCAGACGTTGCCGAATCGAAAAAAACTCGAAAACTGTCAGTCTTTCTTTTCTTTTCAGAACTGATCATTTCTTTTGATAAGACCTGCGTATATTCAATATGCCTAAAGCATTGTCGAAAAATACTGAAAGTAAGTAAGGATAATAGCAATAAAACATTTCAACAGTACAAAAAAATTTGAAAGTTCGAAATAGTGCACATGTTGGCATCACCGTAACTTGTCATCTTGTGACGTCATTGTCTTCTTGACGTGACAACTTTTTATATTCTGTTTACTACTTTGTGTTTGCACCGCCAACTTCAGTAACTAGCACTGGTGGAAGACAAGCGGCAACACTGCCAGGAATCCTTTCTTTTCAAAGACAGGATAATGAGAAATTGCATTGTTTTTTGTAGTTTGAAAAATAGTACAAACATACTCATCCAAACTTTTACTTTACCTTTCACGACAGGAAAGTTGCCACAATGGCAGCGTTCACACTTCTACTTTGAAGGGTCATGCATAAATGCTTCCATTTTGATGACAATATTGTTATTGAAGTGGAAGATAAATTCATAACAATTTGATGTCGAACCAATGGAAAAGTAGGGATGTTTTGGTGAAGTAAAAATGGATCGATTATTGTGGGCATCCTGGTTTCCCGGTAATTGGATCCCAAATGCCACTGACGCTCCAATTCCCAAATGCACTCTGTTCGCTCAAAAAAACAATTTTGAGATACATTTCAAATAGCAGCCTCTACACTTAATATTCTTTCAAATTTTCATGCAGATCAGATTGCCTGGTCATTTATAACGGAATTCTTAATCTGTGATACTAACAAAAAAAAGATAATTGATAATCGAGTTTCTAAATTCATCGATGGGTCCACCGATATTTTCCCCTCCACGCCGTCACAAACATTGTGGCTAAAATTTCTGACATTTTATAATTCTCTTTCTCTTTAGAAAGTGACGTAACGGTCGCCTGAAAATCTTGAAGCATAAAATAGGAAAGACAACTATATTTTATTTCTATGACATAAAGGTGATTTTGTAAATTCAACAGATTGGATTGCTTTAATCATTAAAAACGCACTAACGATTTGAATGGGCCAATGGGTGAATCTATCGGATCCATCGGTGAACTCATCATGCATCTGAGTAATTAAACAATAGAAAAAAAATTATTCAATACAGTTTATTGTATGATTTTCACTATAAGGGTTTTACAAAAACCGCGACACGTGTTTCGCTATACAATAGCTTCTTTAAGCAGTTTATGCTTAAAGAAGCTATTGTATAGAGAAACACGTGTCGGGGTTTTTGTAAAACCCTTATAGTGAAAATCATACAATAAACTGTATTGATTCGTTTTTTAATATCACTACTTCTAGTAGTACCGCAAAATATATTTCTCTTCATTGACTAATGAGAAAAGAAACAAGAAATTACCATTGGTGTTTTCTTGGGTTTAATCTTATTCAAGCGTGTATTCAAAAACGCCAGAAAGGAATGATTCAATTTGTGCCAGATGTCAATTCACAGGAGTTCTATACTATTAGATTATTGATTACATTCAACTGAAACAGATTACATAAACAGCGCGGCAGAGAAAAAACTAAGTAGTAGAAATACGAACTTGAGTTTTTGTTCCTACACATAGCATGCAAGTTGGTTTGATATTGCGTCACACTTTTACGATGGCTAGCACGTATTGTTCCCAGAAATTTCAAAAATGATTTCAAATTTGTACTTATTATAATGTTGGAGAAATGAATGAAAAAGTACATTTTTCTTGTTTATATGAATTTTTTTTCAGTAGTAAAGTAAAATATCAAATGAAGGATAATTGTGGATATGTTAACATGTACATAAACTGGGCACTTTTCTCGGGTATAAGTATTCTTAATTACTAGTTTAGTTATTAGGTTTAGTTATCAGCATATATTGTTTCATAAACCAGCTATTATTGTTTAAAATTTACTAACTTACCTAGAATTATTATCAATACTCACCTAATTTAGTTTTGTAACTACTGTTGTATAAAATTCATTGCAGAAATGAAGGAAGCTACTGTTGTCAGTAAAGATAAAAGTGTGAACATTGTTAAATTGATAAGGATGAATCTTTTCTCAAATGACTCCAGATGTAAATTTAGGATGTTTCGATTTAACAAATTTCATCTCAAGATACCCACTTGGGACAAATTATTTGAAAAATTGAAACGGCGAACGTTCGGAGTCGAAAAAGCAGGAAATTTGGAAAATATATTAGTTATATTTTGGTGTTACTTACACTTCACTAACCAACCACTGATGAGACATCGCTGTTACATCACATGTTCATATAGCTGCCTTGCAGTGAAAGTCAGAGGACAAATAATCTCGTTTGGCTGTTGATGTCGAAGCTTGGCTCTGTAAGTGACCGCCTTGGAGAGCCTCATTCATCTTTGATATTCAAGGATTGAGTCTTCTGTCGCTCCAATAGATGACGTTTTAGTAGGGGGGGTTGTCACTGCCTTCAGTATCAGGCTTGTTTTTTATGACAGTTCAGTGGTCAGTCTAGCACCACTAATGGGACCTGGCTGGTGGAAACAGTGCTGTCTGGTGTTGGTTCAAAAGTTCAAGCGGATTATGTATTTGAAATAAAACTACGACTTCAGGAGAATCATCAAGTTTTTATTACTTTCCATGATGTAAACGTTAACAATAATACTGATATTTCATTTATCACTAATATCTACTCTGATTACCACTGATGACCATGAAGGAAATTGAGGACAAGAGTTTCTAAAAGATTCACTTTTGTTTTTAAGGTAAAATCTATATTTATTTGTCAAGTATGATCTTCAGAAGCAATATCTTGTATAAAAGTATTTCTATGTAAATGGTGAATTTCGAAATCTAATAGATGAGCACCCTAGAGTTTCTATAATAATAATTACAGTTGTTGAAAGATTGGGATGATTGACGATGATGAAGTGTGATCGCAAAGTGGACCCACAAACAACTGTGAATTCAAAGTATGAGAATTCAGAGTGGAAATCCTAACAGGTGATTCCAAATTTACAACATTATTGAATAGGTACTGTTTTTGAAAAATACTTTGCTAACCAAGTCAGAGGATAGTATGCTATGTTTTGTTGGAAGCTTGAAACGAAAATTGATATGTATAAGAAATTTCAAATTCAGAAAATGGTAGTGCCAAATAATTTAGTATTTGAGGTACAATAACTTCTTTATTCAGAAATAACTCATTTGACTCAGTCGCAAAGATATTTTATCACTTCTTTATTCATAAACTATTTCTACTTTTTGATTGTTTCAAGTTGTTCAATAGTAGAATTTTCTAAAACCTGTAACTATTATTGCTATCAGTTCAAGATGTGCCCACTGATTTTTTTAAAGAAGTAAATTGTAGAGTTCAAATAGGACGAACTTTATAGTGGTATTTGATAGGATTAGTAAGGAAAATTCTACGTACATTGAAATGTTGAAGAAAACTGATTTAACGAAAATCACAAATATTTTTAATGAGGAGGAAATAGAAGGAAAAATTTTATTCAAAAATAAATTTTTAATGAGGAGGAAATAGAAGGATAAAATGTATTCAATAATAATTGGGTATGTATATTTACGTCCTCCAATACTTTGACTTTCAAATGATTTCGATTATTTTTTGTACATACTGTATATAAGGCACCCATAAATCTTTATCTTTCACTTGTTGTTTGTTTATATCACATGATTCAAAATATGCTTCAAATAAAATGCATCTTCATAATCCAAGATTGAGAGTTTTCCATGACTACAAACATTACTCCACGCCCTTTTCACTTATTTTTCACTAGTTTCAATTATACATTATACATATCTGTTGAGATTTTTTGAAGCCCTACGAGGGTCACACTTTATGTTCTATCACAAATTATTTCTAGAGATCTTGATTTTTTTTATAGAAATCTCAACTCCATATCAAAATCTTAACTTTCTTCAGAAAAAAGGAGTATGGCCTTTCTAAGGCTTCATAAGATTTTAACAAAAAAATATTAAAAATACTCTGAGAACAATACCTACATAAAAGGTAGTTGCTGTCATATTCCTTATCAGAAAAATAAAAACTATACAAGTAAATTCTATATTTTTATCTACCTATATAAATTATGAGTGAATATGAATTTATTTCAATAACTTAATATTTTGGGTCACACTTTTCTTTTTTTAAACCATTAATGAAGTATTTTCTTAAAATAAAACAAAATCACAAAAATGTATGTGTAATAAATTGGGTGTATTCATAATTTATTTTTATTATTAATTTATTACATTTACATTTTTGTGATATGTTTACATATGATGCTTGATGATACTTGAAGATGAAATCTTCAAGTTTGTATAAGAAAGCTGTAAAAACTGCATTTTTCATGATGTAATTACTATGAAAACTTTTATTTCATTGTTAATATTAAAATACTTGTTTAAAAATGTTATAATACATTAGTATAAGTAATTAACTTCATAAGGTTGTATTTGTTTATTTACTGTTCAAAGGTATAATCCTAGTTTTTATGTTTACTTTGATGAATACATTCTGTTATTGTTATTTGAATAATTCAAATTTGATTATATCTGTAGCAATTTAGTAAGTAAACTTGGATTATTTACAATATTTCTTTTTTACATACATATCTAACTTGATTTTTGTATATTTCATATATTTGCAATTTAGATTGATTCAAAACAACCTGAAAATAGATTTGATATGATAACAACATTCCTTAAAAGAATGTCAAGAACATATTCATATTTTACTGGCAAATTTCACTATTAAAAATGAGTACCAATTCTAATTTTCATGTACAGGATTAGAATACTAGTTAATGGAAAACTTTAATTCAACATATGGCAATATTTCATGCTAAAACAATTTTTTTTGTAAAAGTGGAAGTAATGATAGTTCTGGTAATAATAGTGTTACATTTCAAACATGTGGAATGTATTGAAAATGTTGAAAATATTAAAAAAATTTCATTCTTACGACTCCCACTTCGTAATAAGTGTCAGTCACATGACACGCAAGGATTTGGTATTTTTATCAGACATTTCATATATGCTCTCCGTACCTCTCTCCCACAAACATTTTTTTGTGACTCGGTACATTTGAAAAAAGTTTCTTCAGTATGTTCTCCAAATCTGCTAGACTCCATAGTCGATTGAATAATAAAAATTCCTTTTTTCATGAATTTTCACATAAATTTTTTGAAGAAATATTAAAATCTGTATTAAAATTTGCCAAGCTTTTGACTACACAGGTTATGAAAATTTGCCATGATAACACATCTCACCGTGAAACCACAGAGCCGGCAAGAGTTGATCTGATATAACTAAATATTTGAAAACTAGATGAATTAAAACTGTAGATCAAATAGAAACGTGCAAGGCATTAAAATGTTTTCAACGTTCCCCTATCAAAAAAGTCAATTTTAAAATTCATACTCCTTTTCTCCCAATAAAACTAATGAGAAAGATGAATTAACAAATTTGTATTGAGGAAACTGGAGCCGGAGTTATAATAGAGGGCATAGTAAGCAAGATGTTAATGATAATATAAAATTATTTGCTAGTTTGAACAGACAGATACAGTGTCATCCCCAAAGTATGCACCAAATGGGAAATTTATTTATTAAGGGTTTTTCGACAAAAAGTTATTCTTGATAAAAGTTTGTGCATCCCCTAAAACTTAACATGCACCAACAAAATACAGTACAATACACGTAATATACGAGGAACCTTCAAATATTTGATTTTGTGACAAGAGTAAAGTACTCTCATTTTGAAAACTCTCGGGAAATGTTTAAAGTTGTTTAGCATTAAAAATACATCTAGATTTGAAGTCATGGCCTGTAATATTACAGGCCTGTAAAAGCCTGTAATATTACAAATCGCACAACTGTTATGTTAACCACGGTCAATTTTTATGAGAAGTAAATTAATTTTGGAAGTTTTTGGTGCAAAGTTATTTTTATTTTTTGTTATGACCGAAATTATACAGTATTGTAACAAAAACTTGATACTCAATAATATCAAATCACAAAACATCAAAATAAAATAGGTATTTCTGAACAAACTCATTGATTTCCTGGAGATTTTCTTGTCCAAAATAAGTGTTTTGAGTTGAATCTCCAGAAAATCAATGAGTTTGTTCCAAAATGCTGATTTTATTTTGATGTTTCATTTTGATATGATATAATTGAATATTAAGTTCCTGTTACAATACTGTATAATTACTGAGTAATTTTCGGTGTTGACAAACAATAAAAATAACTTTGCACCAAAAACTTTGAAAATTAATATACTTTTCAAAACAATTGACCGTGGTTAACACCATAGTTGTGTAATTTGTAATATTACAGGCTTTTAAAATAAACCGTCGTATACATAATGCTGTCTATTTAACGTTTTAGCAATTTTTTTTTCGTAGTCCCCATTTAAAAAAAAGGGTTAAAAAAATAAAACTTCACTCAGATGGCCATAACTTCAAACCTAGATATATTTTTCAATGCTGAACAACTTTTGTAAATAACATTTCCCGTGATTTTTCAAAATAAGAGTACTTTACTCTTGTTACAAAATCAAATATTTGAAGGTTCCTTGTATATTACGTAATGTACTGTATTTTGTTGGTGCATGTTTAGTTTTAGGGGATGCACGACCTTTCACCAAGAATAACTTTTTGTCGAAAATCCCTTAATAAAAAAATTTGCCATGTGGTGCATACTTTGTGGATGACACTGTATATGAAATTTCAAAACTATAAACTAACTTGTAATCCCAACTCAAAACTTTTTTATATGCAATGGATACCTTATTATTTCTTTATATAACTTTATTGTTTTTGAACAAAAAAAAAAACAGAATTATAGCCATGTAAATTATATTGGGAATAACATACTACAACTTTGTTCCAATTCTCTACCAAGTCTTATAAATTCATGTAAATCGTCCAATGCTATCCCAATGTTGATAGAGGATGATTGAGTTTTTACTTTAAAATATTGTGAAAATTGCTTCAACATTTGAGAAAAGTTCTATCGATTTCTTTTAGGACACTAACGTTATTATTCTCAACACACTTTCAAGGAATATCTATCACAGAATCACATACATGAGTTTTGGCATCGATATAAGAAAAAAAAAAAAAGAAAACTTGGTGGTTGATGAATATTGTAGTATAATCAATATACTACCTGTACTGAGTGTTCTATCGATGAATACTTGGAAAGTGAAGGTGTCAGTTTTAAGTGGCGAACACTACTGAAAACTCACATCCTTTAAAAGTAGTTAATTGATTATATTGCAGTAAGAATTACATAGGTAGTTGGTTTTATTAAAGAGGATGTGTGAAATTTTTAAGAAAAGTGAATGGTGTTTACATAACGAATATCTTGGAGAAATTTTTGTAATAATAATAAAAAAATATATATTTTTTTTCGATAGAAGATGACTTTCAGACGTTACTTCAAGTGATTTCAGATATCAATGTTTTTTATATTTCATTTCTCACATTAACGGAAATAATAACGTTACTTCTCGCCATTATGTATAATTGAATGTCATATTTTTATTATATATCCATAAGAGAGCAATATTAAAGGTTCGAAATGTTTTACAGAAAAAATGAAAACTTTTTATAGTAACATAAAATTCAAACTCGACAATATATTTTATATCAAGTGGGCACGCATAACTGCTGAAAATATTATTGCAACAGGTTCAATAAGACTTCGTTTCTAACGGAGTGGTTTTAACCGGGAAGTGGTGCTTGGGCATAAAAATCGGGTTCTTCATCGTCAACATCTGCTTGGTCACCATCCAGCTGAAAAAAATTATCAGATTAATTTTTCCAATTCAAATATTTCTGTTTAGTCTTAGTTTTTCTAGTTGAGTGTAATACAACTGCAATGAAAACGCTTGAGAAAGCTATATATTGTATAGCAGAACTTATAAATATTTCTTCCATTCTATGTATAAGAAATGGTGATGACATCTCCTTCTATGAAGACGCCACCTATCGGACAGAAAACTCGAACCATGAATACCAAAGTTCAATGGGGTCCCAACGATGGTCTGTGGTAAAGCCAGTTTTGACATCGAACGCGGAATGAAAGTTCGATTTTTTGTAAACAGGCAACTAAATGCAAAATGGGTAACTAAATGATACCAGAACCTAAAAGCGTTGCATTTAAGATATAAGACCCTACACATGCTTCAACCATCATTTTTTTCATGTTCAAGTACATGCATAGAAAGAGATTCAATTCCCAACTAAAATTTCAGAGCCTTTGAGTTATCTGAAAATTAGATGAAGATGTTCAGATCCTCACGTCACCCCTTCAACTTCGGCTAGCTACCCATCATATTTATCCTCAATTGCGGAGACGATTCACGTGTCTAGGGCAACCTAAACGATTCATAACAGGAATTACAACATATTATTGGCTTCTAATTCTTTGAAACCGACAATTTTCAGTTATAAGGGATTGAAATCAAGAGTTTGAGTCAGTAATCTCTGTTGCTTCACATCCAGACAAGAACTGAAATCGGTGGGTATTAGTTAGTTTGTTACGATATACGTTAATTTTTCGCTGTGGAATCTTTTCATTTTCAATTGGAAATACACTATCGCTATGAGATGTATCCCTTCAATCAAAATACTTCTGAAAACATGTAGTTCAAAGTGTATCGAGTTATAAACCTCGAAGCATTCATCTGTCATATATAACTCTCGGGAAAATAGAGCGGTCTCAATTATTCGAATACTTTAAGTAAAAGTAGAAGATAGGTTCATATCTTTCTTAGATATCCCAGACTATGTGGGTTATCTATCATCAACTATTAACGTATTAGTGCTTGGGCACTATAATAACTTTTTTTAATTTTCATCATGTCCTTTTTTAGCTAGAAATCAGTATTATCTGTGGGTGTGCTTGTTAGCGAAGCTCCATATATTTGAGCAACATTCCAATGTTGCCAGGATCAAATTTTTCTAAAAATAAAACAATTGTTTTCTTGCCGACGTTTCGAATTTAATTAAATTCTTCTTCAGGGCTCTATAACAATGAATTTTCATAAACATACCTCCCACTAAACTCATACGATTATTATCGTTTCAATTTTACAAGAAATAATGAGTTCTTAATTGAATTACTCACAATTATCTGTGATTCTGATAAGGTGGTGTCTGTTTTTCAATTAATATCAGAAAGAAAAAGAATTAAAAAATGGTATATTATTCAGGTATTTTACTTATCAAATTGAAATATGCAGTATTCTAGTATGCATGAACACTATCGCACTTGAGGAATTTGTATCATTTCACTAAAATGTCTTTTGGATAAATATGGATGAACATCTAGAATAGTTGGATGATCAAAATAAAAAATGTGTCCATATTCTTTTTCATGTTCAACGAGGGATGTGGGTTTTTTTATATTTGGTTTCTTAGAGTCTCTCATGAGTTCTGAAACTCGTGTTATAAGGTATAGTTCGGTTTGACGAACATATCATTTGTGACAGCTTCTACAGTTCAATTTGTACACTATGTTGGAATGTATTTCTTGTGTTGTTTTTGTTTTTTGTTTCGGGGGGAATGTTTTTCAACTGTATTTTCATTTGAAAAGACCACTTTAATTTGTTCGGTACTGAGTAGCATTCCAAGTCAGATACAATTTTTACAAATGGAATTTTGTGATACTTGAGTTTCACTCCTGTATATTTCTTACTTTCATTATTTTTCTAACAAGGGCTCTAGAAACATTATTTTTTACTAGGTCATTCTTATTATTCAACCAAAGTGATTGTGATAAAACGTATTGGTTTCAATTTGACACCCAACAAATTAACGCGGTTAGAGAAATTGGGTACCATATTTACTTGTCATTAAATTCTACTTGGTTATTGTCAGCCCAAGCTGATGTTGGTGAAAATGTGCTTTGATCAATCAGTCAGAATAAGAAAAGTGCTGTACTATCATAAAAACATTTCTCGTTTGACAAAATCTGAATCACATAAATATTACCTATATTATAAATACCTTTGACACAATAATTTTTTCAATTTTCAAAGTTAATTCCTATGATACCACCAATAAAAGAATTCCTGAGAAGCATAAGTCTAGATATTGGGCTGTAATATACAAAATCAGTTATATGGGTTAGTAATTCAAACAATAAAGCAAGATTTCGAGTTGATAGGTATTCAACTGATATTCTGAATAATAAAGTATTCAAAAGATTAAATCAGTCAATATCACCTCTGCCAAAATATTTTGGAGACATCAACCAGAAAAAAGTTCAAAAATGGATATTGCTCACCGAAAGATTATTTTTTCACAAACTGGTTAATCAACATAATTAAAAAAATATAAACAAAATTTCCTCCTACAAACTCTCCAAAAAATCATACTGGCCATGTTCAGAACCTTCCATGTAACACAATTACTTTACTTAACCTATTGTTTTCATCATTATGTACTATTTTATCTCATTTCATATCAGTTAACACTGTTTTTTAAACATTGGTCATTTTATCACATGCATGTATTTTGCGTTCAACCGTCAATAACTAATGTCGCTGAACGACTATGAATATTATTAGCCTGATCGTAAGCACTATTTTATAATTCAGACTTATGTCAATAATTTTTAGAAATTATTCTTATATACTTCTTATGATGATTTTTAACATACGTCATATTATGTACTTACTTTTTCCTATTTACTGAATCACGTACAAAGAACACCCCTCGTCGATAGTCCTTCTGTGATTTCATTGTTTATTTACTCCTTTTTTATATTTTTGAATTGTGTATACCTATTTATCTATATTCGGTGAATAAACATTATTATTATTATTTTTCCACCGAAGTCGGCGCGCTGGTCAGGCCCTATCCCTCGAAGCCCCTATACGTTCGGGAAAGCGCGATAGCATTATCACTGTGGGATAAGTGATCATGGGTTTCGAGAATCATGTGCCCTGAGTACCCGCAGTTTTCTGCGCAAGCCGGTATGATTTTGAGATTCGAGAGTAGAGGGGGCATCATTCCATCAAGGACTCCAATAATCAGAACGACCGTCTTGACAGAGTGGTTTGGTTAGAGTCTGCGGAGGTCAAAGGGAAAATCTCAATATTTTATCCGTTTCTCCTCCTCTTTTCGAACGATATTCGTCTCACCAGGAGCTGAAAACTCTATGACAAATATCGTCTTGCTCTAGTTTCTCTTAATTGAAGGAAGTCAATATTGCATTACAATATATAATGTGTGACACAGGATATAGTTTAAATTATAATTTCTCATCGATATCCATTCTTAGAAATGATGAGCTTATCTTAATTCTAAATGACTTCGGAGTCACACCAAGTATTTGAACGATTAGTAACGACCGAAACGTAACTCATATAATCGAATTCAAAACTGGAGCGATAGGATGGCTAAAAATTAATTTTCATCATCAACTATTAAGGTATTAGTGCTTGTACATGATACCTAATAACGTTTTTTTAAAATTCTATTTGTAAGTAACTCTGAATAATCGTCAGGTGAAACGTGTTGGTTCTATATAGCCGCGAGGCCGGGTGATATATTTTCACTGCTTATCGTCCAACCCGTGTTTGGAATCGCACGTTAAAAGGTAAGAGCTCTTGAAGACGAATGAAGGTCCTATGGAAGCCGTTGAACAATCTCGTTAAGTTCGTAGAGCATACAAAAGCATTAGAAAGTAGTATATAATATACAGGGCGTTCCATCTCAGACGAGCCACCCTGTATATTTCTTATCCCATAGTGAGTGGAAAAATTTCCCGAAACACGTCGAATGATTTTGTTCGGGGGACATCTTTTGACGTATATTTTAGGCTTGAACGAGCAACCCCCTAATAGGGGGCTCTTCAACTCCTCAAACTTTTTGGCTTGAACGAGCAACCTCCTAATAGGGGGCTCTTCAATCTCTCAAACTTGAATAGGGGAGAGGACTTGAGTGATACTTTATTTGAAAGGTCTTAGAAGCCTCTTTACAACGGTGTATAAAAAACGTATATTTGATGAACCGTTTTCGCCAAAAATCAATTTTGCAGCTCAAATGAGCCACCTTGAATAATTTGGTTATTTTTACAATGTACAAGCCCATTTTTATTAAGTCCAGTTTACAAACTTAAACAATCGTCAAAAAATTACATTCTTGAAAAATTTAATTGTGTTATCATCATGCTTACAACAAAAAAAATCAAATTTGCATGTTTAAATCCAATGTTCAAATCGTCCTCTATTGACTTCCATACAATAATACTTTCTCTCAAACTAATAAATAAAAAAACAGCAAAAAATTTCCTTATCTTGCCTTAATTTTTTTGTGCTTAGAAGGCGATTTTCTAGTTGTAACTTTTCTTCGATCATTTCAGAATTAAAATAATCCGTTGAGTTACTACTTTGCTGATTTATTTAAAATTTCTAAAAATATGGTGTACACATGCAAGAACGTGTTGAGCTGGTTAGGCCTTTATTACCAAAAACAAAATTGTACCCGAGAGGCTGCAAGGATATTTAACCAAAACCACCCTGAACGTAGTGTTCCCCATAAGTACGTACTGGATTTGATTTCAAAATTTGTGGAGACGGGTTCAGTAATGGATAAACAAAGGGCACCCATTGGAGTTGTGAATAATCAAGGAGCAGCTGTGGCGGTATTGGGACATGCCCAACTTATGCCAAACACGCAATCTGTACGACAACTTTATGCATTTTCCGGTATTAGTCAATCTAACGTTTTCAGAATTTTACATAGACACAAGTTCCATCCGCACAAAATTAAATTAATTCATGAATTAAATGATGATGATTGAGATCGAAGGCAAGAGTTTGCGAAATTATGGCCGAGCGTATCAACAATAACCCAAATTTCTTGTACAACGTTTGCTTTTCTGACGAATGCACTTTTTTACTTAATGATGAGGTTAACCGGCATAACTGTAGAATTTGGAGCGATACAAATCCTCATGTATTTCGAGAAGCTCACACTCAACATCCAGAAAAGCTAAACGTTTGGGAAGGAATTTTGAGAGACCACCTAATTGGACCTCTGCTTATTCCTGGTAATTTAACTGGCGAATGTTATCTTGAAATGCTGGAAAATGCGATTGATCCGTTAATAACTGAACAATTAGAAAACGATCCTCTACTACTTGAACAATAATTGCATTTCCAACAAGACGGAGCTTCTCCGCATTACGCCGCACCAGTTCACCGATACCTCAATTTGCAATACTCCGGTCGGATTGGAAGAAGAGGTCCTATGGAGTGGCCTGACTGATCTCCTGACCTGAACCCTCTGGACTTCTTTTTGTGGGGACATCTCAAGTCCAAGATTTTTGTGACTCACCCTGAAAATTTGGACGAACTACGCCAAAGAATTGTGAATGAGTGTCATCAAATAACTCCAATTATGCTGAACCATGTCACGCAGATTCGATTTTTTTGATTGTAAGCATGATGATAAAACAAATCAATTTTTTCAAGAATGTATTTTTTGAAGGTTGAGTTTAATAAAAATGGGCTTGTACATGTAAAAATAACCAAATTATTCAAGGTGGCTCATTCGAGCCGCAAAATTGATTTTTGTCGAAAACGGTTCATCAAATTCACGTTTTTCATACACCGTTGTAAAGACCTTTCAAATAAAGTATCACTCAACCCCTCTTCCCTATTCAAGTTTGAGGGGTTAAAGAGCTCCCTATTAGGGGGTTGCTCGTTCAAGCCTAAAATATACGTCAAAAGATGTTTCCCAAACAAAATCATTCGACGTGTTTCGGGAAATTTTTCCACTCACTATGGGATATGGAACACCCTGTATATACGAGAGTACAAGCGAAGAAAACGAAGTGAGTAAAACAATTAGAAAGTGCGATTTAAGTATAGTAATTTGTAATTTGTGTTATTGAATAAAGTTGCTAAATTTTGATAGGTGTGTATCAATTATTCATTTATTGAGAAGTCATAAATAGACATTTATTTGTGGCCGATTCGTATTTTGACCATAAGATACAGTACTTTGATGTTCTGTTCAAATCTTGTAGTATCATCCTTTATTTCAAAATATAAACAAAACGTCCGACTGGTTACATAATTAAGGTAGGTACTATATGTGTTTTACCTGAAAAATATTTTCTTGAAGAAACTGGAAGAAAAAATAAATTCGAAAAACACATACTTTCCGGCTTACTTTCCAAAAACAACACAAATTTTAATTTTCTTTCAGAGGGTTTTTGGTTTCGTTTCTGCACTATGTTTAACCAGATATTTGTAGACAGCAATATTTTTATAATCGTCGAAAAGAAAAATGAAAAATTGAGAACTGTTTAATGCTAGTCATCGATTCGTATTTCATTGATGAATATATTTTTAAACTGAAGTTGCGGTTTGTAATCAGTTAAAATTGTTATTACTATTTATTCAGGACCAGAATTCTTTTCATGAATTTGATGCTGATTACAGACAGAAAGATAAAGAGCAAAATACGAGTCTCTCATATTCTACTACAGACAAGTTTCGATTACAATTTATTATTTGACACGAATAAATCTCTCTATTATAATTTTTCTTATTTATGAAAATATAAACGGAGAAGTGATGTATTCCACACATTATTGCTAACTATAAAGGAAAACATGCTGTTAACACATTTTTCGACCGTCTGATAATCAATTTACGTGAACACATAAATATTTATAATCTAAAATCTAAACCAAAAAAGACATGTTCAGTTTATTTTATCAGTTGCATTTGTTTTTACTCAAAACATTTCCTCCTTTTACAGATATAATCGGAAGAAGCAATGAACTCGTATTTCAGGGTGGGTACAACGTTATCAAATATTTCATTTTTTGTTTCATTCTAGAAAAAGACCTCAAATAACTGTTGGTTATGAAAGTAATAATTCTTCAATTGCTATTTTATCTGTTTCAACGTCATGGTCATCCATTGAAATGATACCCAATCCGTCGTTTGAACATTTCATTGATTTTGAATATGTATTATTTTTAATAATTCATTATATCAATGATTTATACAGGATGGGGCATCGAAAACGAAACAGATCGAATATCTTCAAAACACATGTTTTCTGAAAAAATGCAAAAACACGTCTATTTGTTATCCAAGGCTGACATCTTTCTATCATAACCTCAACTGTCATACCTCTCCCCCCACCTCTCGGTGGGGGGAGTAGTAAGTGTGACACATCATTAAAAAGGTAATTTCATAAGGAATTCGGCCATGTCTATTTTCGCTACTTAACTTTCTATTTTGGCGCCTTCTTGCGGGAAAAAAAAACTGTTTCGTATTCCAAATTATGATATTTCATTTGCAAGCTAATTTGACATAAATTCGGTTACAATGCATTATGGAATTTTTCTAAGAGAAAAAACAAAATAGCGGCTCCACAATGGCGGACAAGATTTGCAATTATGGTCCGATTTGATTCAAAATTGATAAGTGGTGGTTTTCATGGTCGGAAATGCAGAAAAACAATATGGTGGCTCCAAGATGGCGAACGAAATTTGTAATTACAAAACTCCTCCAGATCTGGTCATCAGAACTGTCGGGGAGGAACAAAGTCGGTGCTGTGAATATGCCTGCCATTCCAATCGTACTCTACTCGTTTGGAGTAGTGAAATATATCCGAGAGGAACTGTATCGACTCGACGAAAAGACCCAAAAAATAATGCACCTTCATAGGAGTTTGCATTCCAAATCGTCCGTACTACGGTTGTACTTCCCACGATAACTGGGATACCGTGGACCTTGAGACAATGAGAGCAGGAATTGGAGCAACGAAATCATCACCTTGACTGAAGTAGATAAGTACATCTTTCCATTTTAAAAAATAATTGTTAAAAGTGGATTCTATAAATCAGGCAGGTGAAGGAGTTGTACAGTTTTGCTGAATTATAAGAAAAACTTCTGGTGAAAAGTGGAGTGCTATGGCCAGGAACCGGGAGAATGTTTTTATTACGATTAGTTTCGTAGTGGGACAAAGAAACCAATTTCTCAAGCAAATTTGAGGGTGTATTAGAGAACAATATATTATAAGTCAATGTGAGGATGAGTCGCCGAAAGAGGGACTAATGTGTTCGTACTTACATATGCCATACGAAAATTTTATGCAGCTATTTTGATTCTGTTGTAAACGAAAAATGTCTGTAACAGGGCAGGCCCGTAAATAGTGTCACAGTTTTGACAATGAATATTTGCTGGGATACAGCTGTCTCAGGTTGTTGAAAGATACTTTGCATAAATCTGAAATTATGATCAAGCCAAAGACTAAAGTTTTTGCTCTCTCGAAAGAATGATATCAATTCTCCATCTATGTGGATAGACAGAGATTCTTCCACCCCAGATCTTTCATTCTTGGATCCAAAAACTGTAGCTTTCAACTTTTTTGGGTTGATTTTCAGGTTATGAGCACATGAGACACCGAACAACAACTGTAAATAAGCGTGTGTTGGCTGAGACGTAATATGTGAATTGCAACTTAAATACTTAGATACATATTATTGGAATGTCACTTACCGCTCTCAATTCCCTTTGCGAAAATAAGTACTTTAATTGGGATCTCAGGGGCACCAATAAAATGAGGAAAAACGGGAATGCCAGTGAAGCTTTTGTCGATTTGATTATCCATAAAAAAATCAAACATATCAGTTGGATAAATGTGAACATGTGCATTTTAACAGTCCGGACCTGAAACAATTGAAAACAAATGCATTAAATTCAGTAGAAAATTTGAAGTTTATTGAAAATAAAAATAACATAGTATAGCACAGAGAATGCGATTACAAATTGAACAGTATAATACTGAATACTTCATAAAAAACTGACGGTTTTGACCAAATATCTTCGCGGGTCAAGCTAAGCCTTGAAATGTATGCACTTAAGAAATGATACTAGAACGATGGCTTCTTTCTATTATTCGGTCATTTTTTATATTTCTTTCCTCTTTTCTTCATTCCGAGAAATGTCTGCCAAGCCTGCACTACTTTCGAGTGTATTATGTGTTCTAAAGATAATTAAGAATTAGCGTCGAGGCGGCTGCATTATTTTATCAAAATCAAGAGAATATTTCTTTTATCTTGGTGTATATTTTGATCAAAATTTGTCTTTTCCCGAACACATCAGATCGAAAATAACTGAAGTATTGAGAGTTTATGGCTTTATAGTTCGTAATTGTAGATCTTTTCAAACATATCTGTTAGGAATCACACGTTAAAAGGTAAGACCTCGTTAGTCCTTAGGTCGCACATGTTTCGACTTCTGAAGGTTGTCGTTCGTAGGGGTGCGATAGCTGGTTAACTGGAAAAAAAATCTGCTCTAGTTACTCTTTATTTAGCTTGCGTTAGGTCAAAATTGGAATATGGCTCTGTTCTACGGTCTCCATTCTACAATTGCTATAATACGTTAATTGAAAGAGTTCAACGTCGTTTCCTTAAGTTTATTTACTTCAAATCTTATGGTATCTATTCTGATAGAGGTATTACGCAGAAAACCTGCTGGAATAATTTTTCTATACAAATTACTGCACAGCAATGTGTATGCTATGGAGGTATTATCTCCTATACATTTATGTGTGCCTCATTCTAGAATTAGAATCACAAAAACTTTTTACAGCCGACTGGCCAGAACCAATTTGTATCTCAAGTCAGCTATCTAGCTATCCTTCATTTTCTCAAATTGTAACTTTGTAGTTATAGGCACCTATATTACATTTTTTAACATACTCAGTTAACACTGTAAATCGTTTTGAACAGTTGGGTAATTATTATTATTATTATTATTATTATTATTTTTGTAACCGTAGTCCGCGTTGGTTAGGCCTTATCCCCCGAAGCTCCGATACATTCGGGAGAGCGCGCCAGCATCATCAACCAACAAAAACTCCCCACATTGTGGAGTAAGTGATCATTGGGTCCGAGAATCATGTGCCCTGAGCAAGCGCGGTGAGCCAAGAATGACAGCCTTCTGCATTTGTCTGGTTAAGATGTCTGCCTTAGTGCGACAAGCAGGTAAGATTTCAAGATTCGAGAGTAGAGAGGGCATCATTCCACCAAGGACTCCAATATAATCAGAACAACCATCTTGACAGAGTGCTCTGGATAAAGTCTGCGGAGTTCGAAGAGAAAATCTCGATATTTTATCCGTTTTTTCTCCTCTTTTCGGACGATATTCGTCTCGACAGGAGCTGAAAACTCCACGACAAATATCATTTTGCTCTGGTGGTCAAGAGGGACTACATCGGGCTTATTAGCTTGTATAAGCCAAAATTACCATTAACAATCAATTCTTAAGCCAGTTATATTTGTCACTCTTGGCATTTTACATTTTGTTACGGCTATAATAATTTATTGAAAGTAAGTGAAACCATGTCTTAGCTGATAACAAACAGAAATAGAACAAATTCAAGTCCAATACTCCCTAATCCAATTCTCCCTTATATACCAATAAATTCTTTAAATTTCAGGAACAGACCTACAAAAATGCAGAATCTAGTTTCATTAACATGTCATTTGATGTTAGAAGTATTTTCATAGAGAATGGTAGAAGTTATTTATATTAAGTTCCAACTTTTAAAAAATATAATTAGATTAATAAAAAAATTTAGAAATCAATTTTTAGTATAACCAGACCGTATATCAGAAGAAATGATGGCATAGAAAAATATTCAAGAGTCAGTAGATATTTGAAATGATCGTACTTCACTTCAGCAAGAAGTAATTGAAAAAAACCATTTGAATACCGACATAGTAGGTACTGTGTTTTCCAAATGTGAAAAATTCATCATTTATTGTTTTATTATTATAATCAATATAAATAGGTACATCTGAATCAAACTAAATTATTCAAAGATATGAACTATAAGTATGAAATCTATGTAAATACAAAATGGCAATACCTACAAGAGTATGGCAATATGGCAATACAAGAGTATATCCATATTCAGTTTAGATCATCAATATTAGAGATGAAACAAAAACCTGGTAATATAGTTACAAAAATGATATACACTGAAATCATAAATAGATAAAAAATTAATGCTAGCAACATTTAAAAAATATATTGGTAAGTGGTAGAAGATCATCATGAAAAATAAGAATTAATTTACTGTATTCGTTTGAAAATGTCCTTATAGGACGAAACTGCAGTAACGTTAGTTACAAATACAAGTGGTAAAAAACATACAAAATTTTATTTCTCATTTTTCATGAATGTAACATTCATAAACCCGTTGTATATTCTGCAGAGAACTCAATATACGAAACTGACAAAATTTCACATATGTTTATTGTTCAATTGAAATCATAAATATTCAGTGATAAGAATTGAAAATCCCACTATTTTTACTAGGTAACTTGTTCTAGATGTCTATAAATATTTGATGAGCTGTAAGACAGTTTTCAAATATTATTTGCAAATTTTCATTCTACAAAGAGAATATCTAACAATGAAAAAGGCGTAATGTTGAATAAATTGATGTGTTGCATGTAGCCGTTACTATGTGGTAGGAGATCTTTATGAAAAATGATAAATAAAACTTCATATGTTTTTACACCCTTTGTATATGAAGAATAAACTCGTGGTTCATTCTTTATCCATAAGAAAAAAATAAAAAGTATTTCAGTGATGTATATCATCATACTTATATATGTGAAGAGTGACATGACGTCATTAACAAAGATAATAACTGGTTTCTGAACGACAAAAAGTGTTTCCTAAATAACGGAGTTGAACATCGGAACACACCGATACATTTTATTATAGAACAGCGTTTGCATAGAATGATATACGCGAGTTGACAACGTAGGTCAATCGGATTCTGACGCTACTGCGCATTGTTCGTTTTCCATGTTCTGTGGTAAATACCGCCCCGAGCCCCGAGTCCCTCAACCCTCCTCCCCCATCGACCCGAAGCCAGCGTACACTTTTGCAAGTTGCGAAGGCGAGCACAAAGCAGAAACCAACACAGCGCGCAACGCGCATATTAATCGTAACGAATCCGGTCGAAGGTGTGCCAGACTGACCTGCATCTTTAATGTTTATATTTACCTACAAAGTGAACTGTGAATCAATCAAAATTTTGGTAGGTGCTATTGATCTCTTCAGAAAATATTTTGATCTTAACAAATCACGTTTATTTACAGATATGGATTCGTGAGTCTCGGGCGTGGCTAACCAGATAAACATTACTCATCGCCGGTGACAGTTGAGAGCAAAAAAGTTCCCTAATCTCATTCCTACTTCTTACTTGCTCAGTGTCGGTGATACGAGGTAAATCGCGGAATTTAAACAATGTTGATTTGAGGAGGAAAAGGAGGGGATTTTTGTGCTACAATGAGTGCCAATAATGTGAATGCTCAAGTTCCTACCACACAAGCGACGGCGACGATCAAATCCAGACCAAACATTATGCCTAGTAATTATATGTATACGTCGAGCAGTGCATTGTTGAACCGCAATGCAGAAAATAAACCTACCCCACCACCTACTCTGCCAAAATACACTTCTAGCTTCAACGCAGGCAGTAGTTTAAATAGGGAAAGGGATAAGGACAGCATCGGAGGATCCTATAGGCTTTCCAGCTTGGATCGACTAGCTATGAGACAAAAATTCATGGACCAGCAAAACAGTTCAGCCAATGGAAGTCCTCAGACTAATGGAAGTACTGATATCACTTCAACAACAGCTTCACTGCAAAGCAAGAGAGAAATGTTCTTTACGTCTACCGAATCTGCCAACTCTGTTAGTAAGGATTCCAATCGTCTGAACAAAACTCCCTCGATGGAAAAGCCTGTTGACCCACCATTGAAGCTAGCTTCTCCTGATTCCACCAAAGACGATGCCATTAAAGATTCAGTGTGTGAATCAATACCCGATGTAGTGAAAGAACGTCCCAAACCAAAAGAATTGGACGGATACGTGGGTTTTGCAAATTTACCCAATCAGGTGTATAGAAAGGCTGTTAAAAAAGGTTTCGAATTTACATTGATGGTCGTGGGTGAATCTGGTTTAGGAAAGTCAACTTTGATTAATTCAATGTTCCTGACGGAAATTTACAACTCTACAGACTATCCGGGACCTACGCAAAGACTTAAGAAAACTGTAGCTGTTGAAACAACGAGGGTGATGTTGAAAGAAAACGGTGTGAACTTGCATTTAACTATGGTTGACACCCCGGGATTTGGAGATGCTGTTGATAACAGTAATTGCTGGACGCCCATAATTGAGTTTATAGAAAGTAAATATGAAGACTATCTGAATTCTGAGGCCAGAGTAACTCGAAAAGTCAGTCCCGATCAACGTGTTCACTGTTGTTTGTATTTCATCCAACCGTCTGGCCACGGTCTGAAATCTCTGGATATAGAATTCATGAAGCGGCTCTGTGACAAAGTGAATATTATTCCTGTTATAGCAAAGGCAGATACATTGACTGACGATGAGTGCTCTTTGTTCAAAAGGCAAATCCTAAATGAAATCACCCAACACAAAATTAAAATATATGAGTTTCCTGACACATCTGAAGACGACGAGGAACTTAAATTGAACAAATCGCTGAAAGACAGAGTGCCTTTTGCAGTAGTGGGTTCAAATGCAGTTATAGAAGTCGATGGCAAGAAAGTGCGAGGTCGTAGGTATCCGTGGGGAATTGCCGAAGTGGAGAATCTCGAACACTGTGATTTTATAGCACTGCGTAATATGGTTATAAGAACACACTTGCAGGATTTGAAAGATGTTACTAATAATGTACATTATGAAAACTACAGGTGTCGTAAACTAGCTGGTCTAGGCACCGATGGAAAGCCGTCTAGGATATCAAATAAAAATCCTCTAGCACAAATGGACGAAGAGAAACGGGAACACGACCTAAAAATGAAGAAAATGGAGGCAGAGATGGAGCAAGTGTTTGAAATGAAAGTGCGTGAGAAAAAACAAAAATTGAAAGATAGTGAGGCGGAATTGACTAGGCGGCACGAGGCTACGAAAAAGACTCTGGAACAACAAGCAAAAGAATTGGAAGAGAAGCGTAGGCAGTTCGAAATGGAAAAGGAAGCATGGGAGAGAGAAAATCAGGTGACCGTTGAAGAGTTGAGAAGGAGGTCTTTGGAGGGCAGCAGAGAGACTGTCGATGGTAAAAAGGAAAAAAAGAAGAAAGGACTTTTCTAACAGTCATTGGAGAACTTCTGGTGAAGTGTCGATGTGTTCCACATATTAAACTGCTTGAAAAATGTTGGGCTTGATATTTGGTTAGGATAGCTATCAAGGTAATGAGCTAGTCAACATTTTTTTTTATACTCAAAAATCAGTTGATCAATATACCCTCCAATATACCTATATTTTTATAATGTTTTAAAATTAGACTCTTATGGGTGATGATTTCATGAGTAGGCAGTAGGTAAATTGTTTGCACTTTTTTTTTGTAAGACATGATTTTTAATATATGTATGAGTCCTTAATCAGTTGTTTCTCATTGAACATTAGAAATTATTTCAGCAATCTAAAATAATGAGGTAATATTGAAAGTTGGGTTCAATAGTAATTTAAATTACTTATTTTTTGCATTGGTAAACTAAATAAAAATTAGTGCAATAAACATATATTTTCTATTAAATTAAACAAAACACATAACAACTAATAAATATGGAAAAGCATACAAAATTAAGTGGCCACTGTAAATCAACCTGTTATTTTCATGAAGATGAAACCAGCTTTTTTTTTCAGTTGATGAATTCTAGATTTTCCTTTAAATAATACAATTTTGAAACCAATATTGAGTTTCTTGGATAGAAAAAACATTTAATTTCAATATTGTTAAAATAAATTAAAAATTCCTTAAAACGGAGGTTCAAATTTCCTAATTTACCCATAAAATGAAAATAATTCGGAAATTCGTCATCTAGAAACATCTAAGTACAAACGTTAACATTTAACATTCAGTTATTTCGATCAGCTGTTTCTTCCCTATACACAACAAACTCACACTCCTAGGTTTCACTACTATTTAAAAATAATAATTCTTTGTTGCCGTTCTTTGGAATGATTTCATTTTTTTGCTCAAATTTTCAAAAGATGCATGGGTTTCCCAAGTAATGCTAACAAATGGCACATAACAGATGCATCCTGCATTAGTTTTATAATGAAAACACTACTCTTTGCTGATATAAAATATCAATGAACAATTACTTTATGAAATTAATATAATAAATATAATTAATAAATAGTTAGGGACTGCTCATAATTTGAGAGCCAACAACTGATAAAGTTGGCAGGTTTAGGTGGATGCAAGTGGAAAGTGAAAATGGAGACCTAAGTAATGTGAAAGCGTTGGGATGATTTTCAAAAAAACACTGGATTATCTTAAGCACATACACACAGTTTTTGTTAGTTTAAATCACCAAATTTGAAGAAGGTGGAGTTGATGGTATAAAATCATAAAGGTGAACCTTTGAGACCAAAAGGTTGATACTTGAATGAATATGTCTCAACTGATTTTTGAGTTTTCGATCCAGTGATCAGGTTAAAAATAGTTAACTAGCCATGTTGGAAATACTTTGATCTGAGATGTATGTTTCATTCATAACTTGAGTGGCAAATTGAACTTTCTTAGTTTTTTATAATTGCATTTGTTGTATACATTTATGATAATTTTATCTCCATAGAGCTTCAGTCAAACAAAGAAACCAGATATTTTGACTGTAAAAGACTGGAGTTGATTGCTCTGGTGAAATAATTTTGCAATAGTTTTTGTTGTAGATTAGGATCTATAGAACATTTTTATAAATAGTGATTGGAACAACTGGCTGTAAAATATTTATTTAAAATGTATATTAATGACACTTTCATTATATATCTTGAAATTTGTGATTGATTTTTTATATTTCATCCATTCTATTTGGTCTGGGCTCAAAAAGAGATGTATACATTTTTTTCTTAGCTAAATGTGGATTTACAGAACCATTTTTTTAAAGTAATAGAAATTTAGCTCTGAACTACTGAGTCCCAGTAGGTACATTAATTTAAAAAAAATATAAATTTAAGCCAAATACAATGTGCAGAATGTTTTGTCAATCATATTGAAACAGACCTAGGGAGATAACTGATATGTCTCTGCGCCAGTTTTTTCAGATATATCATTAAATTTTTTAATTGTAAATATAACTATATTTTGGCTCAACTTGTGAATGTGAAATTCAAAATCTATTAGGGACAGGAAAACAGTCTCCCATTTCTCTAAGAATCACCAGAATACAATTTATTTTTATTGCCTCAGCAGGCTCAACCACCCTATAAAAGTACAATACAATTTCTTTCCTTCAACAATCCAAACTTACTGTTGAAAGGAGATAAGACTAGTTCCATTTAAAAACAATCAAATTTTATCTGTTATCTTGCCAACAAAAGAAAATGTTTTGAATTGCTAACTTGAGAGGATTGACTTCTCTCATTGATAACAAGTAAGAAAACATTGTATTTCTTATCTCTACCAGAGATTTAAAATTTTTAAAATCAGCATTCTATATTTTATTGGTTATTTATAAAACTGTTCAGAGGACCCTAATTACACAAGTGATAACAATGTCTTTATGATTGAAAGTATGAGAAAGAATAATTCTTCTAGAGTAACCATGTGTGAAAGACTTCCAGTTAGAAAAATAGTATAAACATACTGCCACAAAAGCATCATGCCATTGTAGTAGATGCATATATTCTGTCCAGGTTCAGTATTTTTCTTAATAATGGTAGTATAAGCTGATTTGTAATACTTTTTAAATTATCTTGTGACATTGAAAACATTCCTTTCGTCCAGCATGAAATAACAGAATTACATACAGAAATGGTGATTGAAAATTTCATTCTTGGTTTCCTCAAATCTGATATCTACTATAAAATAGCAAAAACTGCCATAATTTATGAAAGTTATTTTTTGTGTCACATTTTTTTGAACGTGAATATTTTCGAAATCTCAAATAAATATAATTTTAATGTTAAAAATGTATTTTCTTATGTAAATCATTGCCAGTTTGACCTTTTACAATTACTTGTGATGCACTGTTTGGAACCTTTGCTGTAGTAATGAATATTACTGGAGTTTTATCCCAACACCAATCTGTTATTTTCCACACTTCTACTCGTGTTTCAATCACGAAGGGATCATCTTCAAGAGGAAGATTAAACTCAATCTTCCCCTTGAAGATGATCACTTGGTGATAGAAGCACGTGTCAAGGTGTTAAAAATAACCGTTTGGTGTTGGGATGAAACTCCAGAAATATTCTTTCATAATTATGTCACTTCTGTTACTTGAAATGACCTAGGAAATAATCAGAGGAATTTTATTTCTAACGATAAGAGTTTTTATGACGGACGCCTCTCTGCTCAAATACTGAAAGTATAATTGATGAAGTACAATGTTAATGTGAATTTTTTTGTATAAATTACTTAGTTATTAGAAATTCTGAATCACCATTCGATTTCATGTGCTAATTTGTGTTTAGAAATTATATATTTACTAGATTTATCATAAAAAAACATTTTTGCTATCCAAAGAGCTCCTATATTAGACATTGTCTGGTCAAAAAGGTATATACTGAATAGACTGAAGTTTTAAATTTAGAGAATTGAAAAAGAATCGTAGCTTAGAATAATTTTCACTGAAAAGTAATGAGGTCTATGTAATTTTGAAAAAACAGTTCAACTGAATAATTGTAAAGAACTTCATACATATTCAGCATATCAATTGTTAATCAGACAGCACCTGCTATTGAACATGATGAATGACTAAATGAGTAAGATAGATATAAATTTTATTTATTCCAAAAAGTTTTTCATATAATATAGAACCTACCTACAAAAAGGTAATATTGAATTATGTCAAAATAAAGTCTTTATGAAGTGAACAACTGGAATGATTTATGCCAATTTCCTCTCCGTAAATAACCTCAAACCCTTTATAATTTCCCTTGTAAATGGTCGATGTTTAGACCTAGAATTTAGTTTTGATAATTCAAATATAGAGTGATCTATTTCAAGCAAACTAGGAGCAAAAATAAGGTGTTACTTGCCTAAAATTATCAAGATTTCCACAAAGTTAGAGATTTTGATATGATTTTGCTAGCTTAACGTAAATCAAGCAGATATTACAGAGTTTTTTATGAAAACATCATATGACAAAAAAGATTGAACAGCAACAAAAAAAATCCTAAATTGAAAGGCTATATTTTTAGGGGAGATTCATTTTTGGAAAAAAGTTTTCTGCTTTTATGAGTACTTATTGACCTATATATAAAAAATTAGGGAAACTTCATATGAAAATGGAGTTGTTTTCAAAGTACTTTTCCTGTAATTCAATGTTCATGTGAAAGTAGTTGATTGAAACGAACTTTTTTCAGTTTTTATTTGAAAGTAACTTCTAGGTATTATCTACACATCTTTGTAAAGAGTTAATTTTGAACTTATTGCTTTCTTTCTTCCTTCCTTCGAAAGTTTCCCTCATTTTTTGCATAGAGATGGAAAACTGGAAAACACAAAAAATCATAGTTCAAAATAAAACTATGATACATTTTAGAGTACAGTTCAAAAGTAGGTATTGCTTCAATTTCAAGTTAGTATAATCATCTCTAGCACGAAGACACTATATACAGTGTCATCTCCAAAGTATGCACCACATGGGAAACTTATTTATTAAGGGTTTTTCGACAAAAAGTTATTCTTGATAAAAGTTTGTGCATCCCCTAAAACTAAACATGCACCAACAAAATACAGTAAATCACATGTAATATACGAGGAGTCTTCAAATATTTGATTTTGTGACAATAGTAAAGTACTCTTATTTCAGCATTGAAAAATTCATCTAGATTTGAAGTCATAGCCATCTAAGTGGAGTTTTATTTTTTTACCCATTTTTTTTTAATGGGGACTACGAAAAACAAATTTTTGCTAAAACGATAAAAAGACAGCATCCTGTATACGACGGTTCATTATAAAAGCTTGTAATATTACAAATTACACAACTGTCGTGTTAACCAAGGTCAATTTTTTTGAAAAGTAAATTAATTTTCAAAGTTTTTGGTGCAAAGCTATTTTTATTTTTTGTTATCACCGAAAATTACTCATAATTATGTATTGTAACAAAAACTTATTATTCAATAATATCAAATCAAAAAACATCAGAATGAAATAGGTATTTCTGAACAAACTCATTGATTTCCTGGAGATTTTCTTTTCCAAAATAAGTGTTTTAAGTCGAATCTCCAAAAAATCAATGAGTTTGTTCCGAAATACCTATTTTATTTTCATGTTTTGTGATTTGATATTATTGAATATTTAGTTCTTATTACAATACTGTATAATTTTGAGAAATTTTCGGTGATAACAAAAAATAAAAATAACTGCACCAAAAAATTTACTTTTTAAAACAATTGACCGTGGTTAACACCATAGTTGTGTACTTTGTAATATTACAGACTTTTAAAATGAACCGTCTTATACAGGATGCTGTCTATTTATTGTTTTAGCAATTTTTTTTTCGTAGTCTCCATTTAAAGAAATGGGTCAAAAATAAAACTTCACTTAGATGGCCATGACTTCAAATCTAGATGTATTTTTCAATGCTTTACTCTTGTCTCAAAATCAAATATTTGAAGGCTCCTCGTATATTACGTGTGTTGTACTGTATTTTGTTGGTGCATGTTTAGTTTTAGGGGATGCAGAAACTTTTATCAAGAATAACTTTTTGTCAAAAAACCCTTAATAAGTTTCCCATATGGGGATGACACTGTATATGAGATTTCAAATTCTTTTTCACTCAGGATATGGGTAAGTATCATTGCACTACTTTGGGCACTGGTTTTTAAGCTGCCAGTTTGCAGAGAAAGCAAAATTCATTCAAGAACTCTAGGGTATAGAAATTGTGTCAACACATGGAATAAGTCTAAAAGTAATAGATAAAGATGATAATATACATCACTTGAATTGAAAAGGGAATATTTTTAGAGGAGATAAGTTTGCCGAGAAAAAACCTTTGACTCTTTACTTCTCCGCCCTTAAACAAAACATGTTTGAACTACAAGCGGGTTCCCCACTTTTTTGTAAGTTCTTCACATTTTTTCTAGGTTATCAGTTATTTGGTGAGAGAAGAACTTGCCATCATACTCTAAAACAGAAAATAGTGTGTGAAACTTCTCAAGTTCCAAGCTCTTTCTATTTATTTTGTGTGATTTTACTCACTATCACTCATACATCCATACTGACCCAACCATTGCCAGCAACCCCCTAAAAAGGGCGGAGCGAACCACCTACTGTGGGCTTAGCTCCATTATTGTAAGTGAACCATTTCATGTTATTGTGACTTTGATAAATTGAATGGTTGTTATGGGCTCACAAGAAAGTTTCAGTAAAATCTCTTCTGTACAGTGGGAGAACTTCCTAACAATAGAATATCATACAGTAAAACAGACTGGATTTCATCAAAATACAAATTCCTCACACATTATGAATCAAAATTCCCCATATACCGAACTTTGGTTTCTTTTGATTGCACTGGTGATATGTTGGCGCCAAGTAAGAGGTCATCATAAAACACACATTGAACATGAATATAAGTAAATATGTTCAAGACTTCGAAATTAATACATAAACCACAAATGAATGTTTCAAATAAAAACTGACATCACTTCTTCGAAGCAAAATTTTTCTTAGCTTGTTTTTGATATTTCATTCAGTTTACATGTTTATTTGATGAAAATGCCTAAACATTTTTTTTTGTGCTAACGTTGCGCGGTTTTGTAAACTGTTCAGTGAAAATCTCACTATAAAATGTTACTTGAATACGTTATCTATTTCAATCAAGTATCGATCACTTCCA